TAACTTGTTCCTTTGTCTTTGTAAATAAGTACTCCCAGCACTACAGAATGTCATCATTTTGTTCAACTTTCGTTCCACTTAACCGATGTGTCTGACTTTCTGCTAAAGGCCTTAGATTTTTTTTCGCTAATGCGTTTCGCATTAGATTTCCTATTTAATCATATTTTTGAATCATTGACAAAATTCTATTTGTCTTCTATGACCCTCTCCCCTTTCTATTGCTGTTTCTTATGCATGTTATTTCCTTCAAAGACGCCATTCAAATTTGCTTGGTAAGGGCAACTAGATATGTTTCATTTTCAGCGTCTCAATGTGTTTCCTTTCCCGTCCAGTTACTGGGCTCCATGACCTGGATGAATACGTCCAGTCGCATCTAGTGCTTGCTGCTTTGACCATCTGCGCACGCATCCTCGAGAACGGGGGCACTTTCGTGGCCAAAGTTTTCCGTGGTCGCGAAGCTGGTCTTTTGGGCGCCCAGTTGCGTTGTCTCTTCGTCGGTGAGGTGGTCTTTGCCAAACCCAGTTCCAGTCGAAACTCCAGCCTCGAGTCTTTCGTGGTCTGTCGCAAATTTCGCGGCGACACAGTTCTTCCTCCCTCCCTGACTAGTACCACCGCACCGGATCACAAATCCAGTGATAACTCAGTGGATTCTCTTGTGGGCTGGCTGAGTGAATTAGACCAAGTTAGTTGTCTCTTCAAGGTCATTGTTTGTGTGAACATTGCGCTTGTACGTATTTCTTCATTAGCTCACTCCTGAACAGCGTATCGTTCTCCCCTTTGTGGCTTGTGGTGATCTCTCCGGTTACGATGCGGACTCGTGCTACGAGCTGGGCGACGACTATACACCACTTGATCCCGTCCAGCCTCCGCTGTCGGCCGCCTATTTAGACGTCTGTCGAAAGACCCGCTCTGCCGCTGCTCCTCCTGGTGCTGGCAATGTGAAGCCAGAAGATGACAGGGCGTTAGATCAGATTCTCTCTCTGCAATTGGAAGAGACCCAACTCAGTTAAACTGAATTTTTTACACTAATTAATACATCTACTTCATTCGGTCTGTGCCACTTTATCTTCTCTTGAATGATTGTGCTCATTCTTTTCTTTTCAACCCCTATTTTTATTAAACAATGCGGATGCCGTTGCTGGCATTTGGTGAATTTTTGTGATTATAGCAATTTTTTGAGAGCTTCCTCAGTCGGCGGTTAACGGATTCGACATTTTGCGGGAGTTTGAGTCTGACACTCCCGATTGTCATCTTTCTTCAAAAGCATGACTGTTATTTGAAGATAGCTTGCTTCTCATTCCCGGAATTTAAAATTATGCTTTAACGTATTTACTAGTGTGTAATTACCATATCGGTACTTTATTCGGTTTGAAATACAGAATGCACAACGGAAGACTATTTACCCAAGGCTTCTTGCGCTAACAATGGACGTGCTCGTTAATCTGAGCTCAGTTACAATGTTATTATAAGTAAAAGATTTTCCGGAGTAATGTGGTTATTTTGTCATTTTGAACGACAAGCTATCTAACTTTTTGTCACTGAATTTTCGTTTTTTTAACTTTCATCTAACGAACTGTTTGCCTACTTCAATTACTATCTTTTGGTGAAACTTTTACAGCAGTACATTGGCAGATCTATAAACATGTCACTGACCGGAAGTCAAAGTAGTTACAACTTCTCAACGTGCAGTTATCCAAGTACCAATGCTTTTTTGGATCTATTCTTGCATTACGTATTCCTTTTAATGCTTGAGTAGGTACTCATTTATGGAACCAGAAATTTTTACGCATGTCGTTACATCAAGGTATATAGTTTCTGAAATACTTTGCCGTTAATGTTACTATCGTGTAGCACTACGTATCTTTTCAATCCATACAACACGGAAATTGGATACCACTTACCATCCACCAGACCACAACTTTCCACTCAACACAATGCTTGTCCCTCATTGATTCTTGAGAGTAATAATTAATCTTGAGCGTAATAATATGCAAATGAAGAATCATGAATGGACTTTTTGTCTTTACTGGTACATGGTCATGCGTCTTTGATAGTCAATAGTCAATGGAAGAGCACCAGTGCTTTTCCTTGGGCACCTCCTCTCAGTGCGCACTGAAGATCCTAAATACTTGCAACAGCGTTTTGAGCTAGTCGCCTCATCTGCATTGCTTCTGTTGGGGCATGAGATGAAGCATTTACCTCAAACCGACTCACGTCCCCTTTTTATTACGCAGGAAACCGAAGAGAAGACTACTTGCAAAAGGGAGGTGGAGAGGGCAGAGCTAGAGGCACTGCAGCCGTCGCCTCGAGAGCGTCGATTGTTCCACGGAATTGCACTTTTCTACCTCGTTATCGCAGCGGTGCTCGGTCTGCCGCTCTGGTGGCTCACCACCTCGCCTGAACAGTTCGCCCTTCCTGCCCAGCGCATCGAGGCCTTCGCAAGACAAGCCATCACCATTGGCGTGGATGTGAGTTCTCTTACTTTTCCTGTAATAGCGAAATCTCATAGATGGTCAGCTAGCATTTGTCAGGCTTCTTTTCTTCATTATGGACTTTTATGCGACCTAGCTTGAGGTTTTTTCCTTTTAGTTACTTTAACTATGATTCCATTGTTGAGTGAGTCCCCAGCACATTACTTTTAATGGAGCCTTATGGGCAATTGGTTTTTGTTAACAGATTTGTCACCATCATTTGTGCCAGCGATCTCGACACAAATTGAAGCTTCATCTGCTTCCATAATGATGCTTCCATTACCCAACATCTCTTTGTTGAGTAATAACATCATGTTGACTTTGTGTTGAAGGGCTTCAAATCGCATGCTTTTGATGTGCTTAATTGTTTAAACTCTCCGCTCTTGGTAGCATTCCCACTTGCAAAAGTTTTCTGACAGGCCCCTCTGACCTTGCTTACATGTCCAACACAGGTAGTTGTCCTAAGCCTGGACCCAAAGATATCGGTGGAGGAACTGGAGAGTTTGAAGCAATCGCTTTATTTTAATGCTGCTGACGCCCAACGTAGTCTGGACGCGCAGCACCAGAGTATGATGGGCTTCAGCAGTGACAACGAGAGTGCGACCCGGCGTTACGCTTCTCTGCCTGTGCGCGTGGACTACCGCTTCTACGTCACCACCATCGCAGTACCCTCTGATGTCACACCACATCTAGTACATGGCGTCTCCGCTGAGCTGGATCGCGCTTTGCTAAACTCTGGTCTCCTCATCTCCCTGGGCGCTGGTAACTCATCCGCTGCCAAACACAAGTAGGTGTTATTTTTACTTCTCTTACTGTTCTTATATCGTGTTTTTTTTAGTCAAGGGATGTAGGGAGTTACAGTATACCGGCCACTTGATTGTTTGCTTTACTGGTTTTATAAGCTGTGTAGATTTTTTCCGAAAAAGAATGTATGAATAGAATTTTTCCTTATTACCGTTAAAGTCTCATCTGATTATCAAAATTTCAATAAATACCACTTGAAATGTGGTTGTATTATACCAAGCAACATGTAGAAGTAGGCTCGATTTCCGATGATTCCGAGTCAGGTGACTGCGATGCACTATGTCCGGCGCTCTATCAGCTCATCAAGTGAAATCCTTATGTACACGCCATTCATTAACAAGTTCTTTAACATGATCACTCCAAGTAGTAAGAATATCTGACGTCCCGATGTTCTTATGCTCGGGCGTCACGCATATGCGGGACCTTTAACTAAAAGAATACAAGTCGTTTTTGTCGTGTTTTTTCCGATTTAATTTGTTTCACACCAGAATAGTAATACATCTGGATCGTGTCAGTTACTTTTTTTCTCCGAGGACCCTTGTCGTAAACGCATTAAAGTTGTCTCCTCACTTATTCGCTTGTAGCTCGAAAATGACCGATCTAATTTAATCTAACCTTCTAACTGCGTTGAAATCGTCTCAAGCGTGATTTATTTTATAATTTGCTTATGGGCACACCTATTGTGCGTACTGTAGTAGCCTTAGCTAAAGAGTATCTTGTGTTAAAAATGATTGCTATTGAACCTTTTCTGGTAGTAGTAGATTTAGCTTACAGAATAAAGTAAAATCTGGTTGGTCTTGCATCCAATGCCTGACTGAATTGATCCTCAAACTGATAATCCAATGTCCTATCAGACCAGGGGCAAAACCAGCGCGATATTAGGCTTGCTGGAATCGTTGGCTTACTAATGCGTATGAATTGTCCTCTCCACAGCGTCGAGAACGCCTACTACTTTATAATTTTGCCCGCGGATTCGCGCGGCTTTGAGGTAGATGGTGGACGTAGGGTCGATGATGCGCTCGCTGCGGTTGTTCGCGCCTCCCTCGACAGGAACCTCATATACCTTCGCTCACCCGGTGTCAACGGGGTGCGCCACAACCTCGCCTCTGTCGTTCTCGCTCTTCTTCAGGAACACTTGGTCACGCCCTCCACTCTACAGGTACAACCTCATCTTTCGTCCATTAGAAAATCATTGATGTAGCCTGCGGTGGTTAATGTGCTGAATGTAAAATAATAAATCAACTCATTACACCCTCCTCACTCTGCCTCTCTTCTTAGTGGATTGCCTACTTACTGATTTCATGAATAGGTCTTGGTCTAAGCTGGCAGTTATTAATGTATGGTTCTGTGCTGTGATTAAGAATTCTTGAAGTCGGTTTGACAAGTGTGAAGGATTTGAAGGAAGCTACTACACTAAATCTAACTTTTTCTCCATGATTTGCTTCTCCTGTTGTAATCGTCTTATTTCATGGCCTCTTAAATTTACTGGGAGTTTTTATGTTTTTTAGTACTTAACTCAAATTCCCGCTATCACTAAGCCCAAAACAACGGCATACATCTATTGTAATGCGTAGCTCTTTTATGAGAGTGTTAGGAATGATGCAAAAAGTGCGCAGAATTCGAAGTAAATCACTCGTTTTAGTCCAAACTAGTTTTCAAAACCGGTCATTAAGTAAACCTCTTAGAATGCTGCATTAGTGTCTGTGACTGATGCTTAAACTGGGTATGAAAGGTGAATTTGTTAGACAGCAAACGGACTAAAGTCAAGCTATAGTATGATCATGGAACGAGGAAAGTAAATACACACACGAAATACGCTATTTCATTTTCTATGTATAATTTGAATAACAATTCGTGTCGCATTTCCACTGGTACCATATCTGGGTTTGGCTGGCTTAAGGCTAGTTATATACCGCACTCAAAACTTGCTATAGCATATTGCGACCCTAGTTGATCGACTTCCCTTTCTCCTTTTTTATCCATGAAACATCGCCTAATCCCCAATGTATTTTATTGTTTCGCCATCAGCGGACTCAAAAGTTGTCAAAAGTAAACCATGGTGTAGTGGTGCAATAATACGCTTTTATAACATTTTGGGCAGATGCGTGTTGTCAAGACCAGTGGTCCCTACACCGTAAAATCCAGCCAGCATTCTTTGTTGAAGTTTGAACTAGTCTGAAGAAGTTACCACGTCACAGTGGTGAAGATGACTTTGATGTAAACCCTTAAATAGTCGGGCTTCAAGGTCAAAAAATAAGATTCTCAGATTCACTGAATAGCATCCCCGACCCTCATTTATATTCATTTCATTGTCTCCGAAATTTCTGTTAAGCGCCGTAGATATTACCGTTGTTGAATTTGTGGTGTCTTAACTTCTCACGTGCCGCAGCGTGGTCCCAGTACTCTAGATGTAACCGCCGGACTGAACATTTGACTAAACTGTACTGCCTGATGATTTATTGGAGAAAAAAATACAAATGTTAGTAGTACAGGTGATTCTTCTACATGGAAAGGAATAGGCAAACGTCGGAAATATGTATCTAACTCATCTATCTCACCTTCCATCTCATGATCTTACCAAACCTGTTTGCATTTCCTTTTGACAATGTAGTGGAATATGCAGTCTTGCAGTTCTTCCTTGCAGAAAACACGCATTTATGTTTCTTAATCGCAATTTTAAACTTCCATATATGACGAAAGTGTAATGGCTGAGGACGCGTTCAAGAACAACCATCTCGTTATCTGCAGCATAAGTTACGAAGAGGAATATTTACAAACTGGAGAAATCATCTTTATCTTCCCCCCGGCAGGCGATATACGCATCGGTGTGGTGGAAGGGCAGCGACGTGGGTCCCATGCAGGCAGTGGAGAGGGCCGGTGGACAAGTGAGTACCGATTACGGGGCGGCGAGGGCTGAGGTGGCACGTGTGCGCACCCATCAGTTGCCTGCGACGCCCGGCTACGAGGTAACCGTGAGTCTAGTGGGCGCCTTCGATGCCACTCCGCCCTGTCTACCCCCTACCGACGATTGGCTGTGGAGTGTTTGCGGTTCTCCTTCCCATGGCCTCAGCCTTGGTGATTGGCTACGTCGCTCCGTCGAGCCTGGGCTGGCCGATCTTAGGCGGTTTATCAACCTGAAGCTCTACTCGCAGTACCTCTACTCTGTGACTCTGGATGGACTCGCTTGGAGGTGTGCAATGTTTTTGTCCGAAAGACCAGCACGAAATAATTTGTCCGTTTTTAGGATTCCTGATTTGTTCAGTTCATACCATCTTAGTACCTCAGTTCGCTTGATTAAAGGCTAGGTACCATTAAATAGCTTTCCAAATGTACCCTTGATTAATGCACAGTTTATGAATTATGACCATATTTGATCGGTGCGCAAACGCACTATTTTTATTTAGCTACGTTTGTCTGTGAATATTTATGATTAGGCTGAATGATTCTTCAGTCACCTAGGATTGTTATTTGATACTAGTGTACAGCCTTTTGCCACAGGGAGACTAGGAAGCAGTCTGTCCCTTCCAGAGCAACTTTCTGGCGTTGCCAGTCTTGTCTCTTGCTTCATCTTTGTCTGCAAAAAAGCATTATTTCATTTCTAGCCCCGAGCACCTTTGTTCTTCAAAAATAGTACCTACTTGATCACAATGCAAATATTCTTATCTTTGGTCAATTTTCATTGAAATGTGTTGGGGTGCCTCGATTCCCTGCTAATTTTAATGCCTTCAGACATCTACATTGCATTAATTTTCTGGATTTTAAGCAGTTCCTTGTTACTGATTCTTAGAGTTTGTTTTGGGTGGATGCAAATTGACATCCCGGCAATGGTACTCTACTTAGCAAAACATTGCTAATTTTTCCATGAGTTCTCATCTGTGCATAAAAATATTATTCTTACCAAGGATTTTGTACGCGTATTCCTAACGTATTGCATGCATGACGACCCTATTTCATTACCTAAGCCTGAACCTCACACATAAATGGCATCGAACCAGAAGGGAATTTTTGCCCATAAAAACTGAAAAAGTCTGGACTATGGTGGTCGGTTTTCTCCGGTGAGCCCGGTAATTAATGTCTAAATGCTATACAGTTTTATTATAACTAGTTTTACAGCATTTACATAATAGGCACAGATTATTTTAATCATAAACCATGGTCTGAATTACTTATCCAATGTTTAAATCCTAATTATCAATGGGCACTTAGATGTAAACGGGAACCTAGCGCATTTTTGCACTGTGATTTTGTTTTGGAAAATTAAAGTACCTACTTCACACTTTGGGCGCAGTAAAGATGTCGCTGCCTTTCGCACTTCCCAATTTAGCCGGCTGTCGAAAGATCGGAAACACAGATACTACACCGCCTCCCAGCTCTCCAGCGTGCTCAACTCTCTTGAGGCCTACCTGGGCCAGCACGCCTCGCAGCGCGGCCAGCCAGACACCCGAGTGGAGGGCGGTCGCACTAGCGGCACGCACGGTGGCCTCCACCTCGTTGTTGTCGTAGACACGCCGCGACGCGAGTTCAACATCTCCGCTCGTCGTCCTTTGCGTTTCCACCTCTCCGCCTCCAACTCCGACGCTGCCGCCTCCAGCATCGCCCTTGTACCCCAGTGGGGTGCCTTCATCTCTCTCGATGACGTTAACGTCAGCCTTTCTAACCTTGGTCCGGTTGTGGTCAACATTGTACGCTCTTTTGTTGGTCTCTCCGTCCAGGGTCGAACCACCGTCACGTTGAGAGGGAGTGGGCAACGCGTTCTGCTAGAGAGCAGTTCGGTGGGTGGGAAGATCATCAAGTGGGAGGTAGGGTCCATCGACAACCCAATGGTGTTTTCATTTTTCTTCTCTAAAACAGTTCGATTTTTCCTTACTGTAGCTTGATTCGTGGTTGCGTCGGCGGACGATTGAGAGTCTTTCGACTGCCGCATTGACGCTGACCTCGCTGGTAAGCACGGCGGAGCGTGTGCCGACGATGGTGCTCAATGCCTATGTGGCGGGACGCGTGGAGCACGCGGTGGCGGCATGGGCGGAGGCGGTGGGAAAGTTAGCGAGTCCACCATCCACGAATTCGGCTAACGCTGGCTCCACGGCCTTTGTGGCTGCGCGAGTCGCTCTGGAAGACGCCGACGCAGGCTTCTTCGATCACAGTCTCCTCGACTTGCTCTACTTTCCCGTGAGTCACGGCTCTAGACTACCCGGCTACGTTATGCTTGAACTAATTTTCGTTCTTTTTTGTGCTGCCGTTATGCTCTAGTCCGATCAGGTGTTCGGCATTTATGTGCCGCTGTTCGCGCCCATAGGTCTACCACTTGTGGCCTCGGGAGTCGCTGCTTTGAAGTTCTTTCTCAAGAAGGATCGTCAAACTGCAAAGAAATGAATAAATGCGTCTCACTTACTGGTTTTCTGCCCACAGGTTTTCATTGTTTCTTTTTATGCTACCATGGACTTCGATTTCTCTTAAACTGTGCTCATCTTCGCATGAAGACTTTCGTTTTTTATTGAATGTTGCTATTTTTTTCTCCGGGCCTCTGGCGTGAGCATTAACATTGATAGTTCTCAAACACGGAATTAGTCGCGTGGAGGGGGAGGGGTGCCCACAGAAACTACCAGAAAATAGTATGTTCTACATATGTTAGTTGCCGTCGATTTGGTGAAACAGTCGTGTAGGAGGCGTTGAAGTAGTTAGCGGAGAAGTGAGAGCTACCCTTTGTCAAGCCAGGAATGCGCCCCAATGTGCTACTTTGGTTAATGTACACGCATTTGTTCTGCCGGCTACATTGGCATGGTTACCTTTTCTCGTTCGTCCGCGCACGATGGTAGTGGCACCGCGGCAATTCGAGCGTTCCTGTCGGTCTCCTTGACATTGTGACCGAAGGCCGAGTTTTCTTTCCCAACGATGCGTTGATCAACCACTCTTAAGGAGCTAGAAGCGCTTGCACTGCTTTGCGACCTATTTGAAACATCCATCTTACTTTGTACAAGGTTAAGGTGCCAATATATCGTTAGGGTCTATCCTTTAGACCCGTGATGAATTTTCTGGCAACGGTTCTGGTTGGTGGACATACTGGAAAGCATAGAGATATTCCTTGGAGTCTGCATTTTGTAAACTTTTGTACATCAGTTTATGTAGGATTGGAGGATGTAAGTCTTTCTGAGAATTTACCACCCAATCCAAACCGTTAATATTAAATTAGAAAGTGATTGTGTAGTAATGTGAAAATATTTGTGCAACTTCGTGTCCAAGCAGGTGAGCATTTCAGTCTTCTTTACAGCACTTTTGCATGTTATGGTACTAGGCAAAACTTGAAGTGCTATACAATGGTACAGTAAGGAATGAGGGTGATCGGGTTTCGTTAAACTGTTTAATTTGTATCATAAAGACTCCAATTATTTACTTGGGTTTCGGCTACATAATGATGTGCTTAAGCACAAAGTAGTTCAAAGTAGAATAAAATTATATTTCTTGCTTGATTTTTGTCTTGAGAAGGTGAATTTTTAGCAGAAACGTTATAATGCACCAAGGTGTCAACAACAAGCAGGTTGCGCACATATTTTGGATTTCATCCTATGGGCGTGTGAATAGCGTCTTTTTCTCTGTTGTATTCTGGTTGGTGTTATGGCAGAAGTTTTATATTCAAAGGGGTCAATAAAAAGTGAAATGTTTGATGACAGTGAGTCAAATATCAAGGCCGACTTTTTTGATGGCAAAATTGAGGAACTTCCTGCAGATAACTCTGACATATTCTTTGGTTCCGAGTCCTCGGAATTTTTCCCCGGAAGTGACCCATATGGCGATCTTTTTCTCATGGATCCTAATGATCTTTTGGGTGTTCGTGAGGAAGTTGTTGGTAGTGAACCTTCAAAGAGCTCAGAAGAAATTCCGGTGCCCGGAATGCCTTCCATAAGTGAAACTACTCTCCCTCCTCGTCGAGGTTTTAGACGCAGGAGAATGAAACAGAAGCAGCTATGTAAAGTGGCTCAGAGTACGGAAGACAGGGACAGTTCTGATCTAGAGGATTTCTCCATCCCCATAACTCCCAATCAACAATCTCTTGAACCTGAACCCTTTCCTTTACAAAGGCGTGTTCATTATCAAATGCGCTCTCCGATTTCTGTCGATACTGGCGTCCGCTCCAAATTCGTCAAATTCAATTCGGCTGTTACATCAGGTAGCGGTTTAAGTGTAGTGCAGAATGGCGTCGTTGCCACTCATCGGATTTTGGCATTCAAGCGCAAGGCAGATTGTGGGCGTCAGCTTCTCCCTCGTGGTAGGCGCCGTGTTAAATTATTTCCCCAAATAGTTGTGCATTTTCGGTTGTCTCTTCGAGGTCAATTGAATGGTTCTGTCCTCTCATTCCCTTTAAATCCTTGAGTTACTGAGGTTTTTTAAGCACATACCTCTCTCGTTTTATGCAAATGTAAATGTGTAGTTTAAAATGAATCTGTGCTATGAAATGGGGTTTCACACTTCGTTATAATGCGGGTTAATGTTTGGAACCGCTGCATGGGTTTTTCACCTCATCCTCTCGTGTCGTGACAGGCCAGAGCCAACCTGTGGGTTCGAACTCCAATTTCGTTGCAATGACTGTTGCGACGCTGAAGAGACGAGGTGCCGCAGGTCTGTTCGGCTCTTCACTTTCCGAGTACAGTGATGTGTCCTTCCCCAGCTCAAGTCATCATAGCTCGCAGGCCTCCCAACAGGGTCGGACAGTGGCTTGTCCTCACAAAAACTGTGGAAAACTGTTCCGCGACAACTCCGCAATGCGGAAACACCTTCACACTCACGGTCCAAGAGTACACGTCTGTGCGGAGTGTGGTAAGGCTTTCGTGGAATCCAGTAAGCTCAAGCGACATCAGCTGGTGCACACGGGGGAAAAGCCTTTCCAGTGCGCCTTCGAGGTTTGTTTTATACCCATATTCCCGTTTTTGCACATGCATTTGCACTGCCATGTACGTTCTCGCGCAGTCTTGTTCTGCTTGCTCACCATTAATGTCTGCTAGCGTTGGCCGTGCCCCGCTTTATCCTCGTTTATCCAAATTTCATTTCCGTGAGCTGTGTGGCTTTATTGAGCAGTTTCTTGCAGGGTTGTGGAAAGCGGTTTTCGCTAGACTTCAATCTGCGGACACATTACCGGATTCATACTGGAGATCGCCCCTACCTCTGTCCCGTTGAGGGATGTAGTAAGCGTTTCGCTCAATCCACCAATCTCAAATCACACCTCTCAACCCACACCAAAGTCCGCTTCCGGTAATTTGTGCATTTTATCTCATTTTTCGAATGTTCTGTGATTTTTTCCATGTTTTTTTTTGTTTGCAGCACTATGTCAGGATCTAGAGTACGAGTATTATCCGCTTTTAGAAAGTGGTTTAAATAAAAACTGAAAATGGGTAACATCGATAGGTCCCATGTTTTGAACTCGAACATACATCCCGAATAATGTATTCCACTATTGGGTTTGATGAAGTACCGCCTGTCATCTGTGGTTTTCCTTGCATGACTTGGCAGCCTGTGCTTCCAGTAGTTTAATGATTAATTTTACCTGGATTTATTCGGAAGTGAATATCATCCGCTAAGTGGGCCATGTTCCCATGATTTAAAAGTGTATCGAAATGGCAACCACACTATTTGTCCTCGTTCTATTGTTTCATTGATTCACTTGGATCGTCTTCTTTAAGATTCCAATCATTTGACACATTCACCACCAATGCGACAGCAATTAACGTCGATAGGCTGCCCGTTTATTGGCTTTTCCGTTTTTTCGGAAGTAGTGCAAGTATAGAGGAAGCTAATTTGTCGTGTTCCTTTGGACAGGACTATGCTTCACCGGATTATTGATCTATTAAATCGTGAAGACGAATGTTTGGCTTTGGATGTTATTGCGTTCAACTGATATCGTTTCTTCATTGAATCGCAAAGCTTTTGGTGTTTTTTTTAAGACTAAAAGCAGCGGCACATAGGACTAAAATTAACTGCTCTTTTTAGGGGTCGAACGTGTGCACCTCAGTCCACTTCATCCGCATCTACCTACCTGTCAGCCTCTAATAATGGCTACGACTCTGACTATGCGGCCTTCCCTCCAATTCAACACTCTCCACATCAAAACCAACAGCACCATCGTTCACTTATGTTGTCTTCATCTACCAATTCCTCAATTCGCCTTCTTCCAGACGGTGGAGTTATTGCCCCTAGGCACCCTCATGCATCTTCTCCTTTCGCAGTTGGCGCAACAGCAAATTTGGAAGATGAGAACGGGGGGCATTCTACGGGTCTCATGGTCGATGAGCCGCCCTCTTCCTCGTCATCTCCGACCCGAGGTCGTGTCCACACTACCGGCCTCAGATCCGGCGGTGGCGGTAGCAGCGCCGGTGGTAAAATCAAGGTTTCTAGTGATCTCTTGAGCGAGTCGAACTCCTTCCTGTAAAAATCGTCCCTTTCTCTCGCTTCCTGTCTCAATTTAACACAGTATGCTACAGCGCGCACAGACTGGTGATTACCGCATTTCGACGGTTGGTGATAACTTTGCCGGGAGCAGTCGCGAATGAAGTCCATTGACGGCTTTGGCTATTGAAATGCAGTGCATCCCCAATGACCCAAATGCGTATTTTATACTCGTCTCTGCATGTATTTCCCCCCTTCCCCCTTTCTTTTCCTTTATCGGCATCGATGCTGTTGGCCTTGGTGCACCATGGGTTCGTTCAAAAATCTACAGACTTGATCATGTGAAGGTTAATACCACGGCGTGTCGGTGTATTTTTACATTTTTATCTTCTGAAAATCTATCATCGAAGGTGTCTTCCATGCGACTCAGAGCCTTGGTGCACATAATTATTACGTGCTCTTGTTCTGCTAGTTCTTGATATCCGCGGCTGTCCGTGGAGGGTTTGACATAACTACAATCTTGGTGTTGGGTCTCCTGCGGTTTGTATCGTGCTGCAGCTGATTTTCTTTTCGGCTTGCTCTGGCATTGTTTAGTTCGCAAACGATTTAGGACATCAGCAATAGGCGACCATCATTAGAGTAGCCGGGATTGTGGTATCGCATGACGGCCCTCAGTCGTCAGACGCTTGGATTGGTTACGCGTGGGGGAGATCTGATCTGGCGTGGCTTGTTCAGGCGCGGGGAACTAGCCCCGGATCTCGTCTCGTAAGACGGTGACGCGGGTAGACTGCGTTCCAGTCATGTAATAGGTCCTGGCCTTAGGTCCGTCGGGGTACAAACTTAAAGCTGCGAAGGATTTTGTGCTCCCGGTGCAAATAAAGGGATTAAATCCTCAGGGTGGTCAAATACTTCACTTCTGGTGATGCAAACTTAGGCTGATGTTAAAAGCTCGTGGGTAAATAATCCAGTGAGCGATGAACGTATTGGGACGTCAGATGACGTGGATAAAAGTATTGGAAGAGTGCCAACTAAAGCATGCTTAAAGCGGTTTAGTAAATCGAGATCAGTGTTTGTAATGTGTAGCGCATGTAGGATAGCACTTTGGGCTGGGTAAATTTTATCGCAATTCTTTAGCAATGTCTTTGTGTTGTCCTCGGGTTATTTGCGGTGAGCCATTTTATTCTATGTATATTATTATTTAGCGGGTGTTGTTATTTGAGCAAGAAACGACTACCAGTGATTATTCAACTCTGGTGAATTTGTGCCACGTTCGCAAATTTATACGCAAAGAGTTTATAACATAAAAATTGAGAATGCTAATTTCCAGCAGCTTTTCGGAAAAGGATGCATCTTCTCACAGGAGCTTTTACTTTGGTTTAACTAATTTGATGCTGTCATTTATTACGAATTAATTCAAATAATACTGGTCGTTTGGCGTTTTCGCGCAATTCATGCCTTTATTATGATAATTTATTTTATTTAAAGAAAGACCTATATACAGCATGGTAAAGTCTTACATTGTAGTCAGTTAAACATCGTGAATCCCATAGAAAAAGGAACTTATAACATTCCATATTGGTCAGTGCGGTGTGCAGAGTGGACTGCATTTTTGGGAGCAGCTCATCTACGAACATGAAATAGGCCCAGATGGTTATTCTCAAGTAAAATACATGAATTCTGAGGAGGTGCTTGAGCCATTTGGCTTCTTTAATGTGATGAGAGATGATCGCTATGTGCCGCGAACTATTTTTGTCGATACGGATCCAACAACCATTGGTAGGTTCGAGATCTTTTAGTGGTTCACAAAGATGACGAACTTTTTTTGATGGTTTTAAGTGAACAACACTTTATTTGCTAAAAATTTGAAATCAATGCCTTTAAGACATTAAGTATCATTACACCTCACCATTAATTATTAATCTACTAAAATTCGCAAGTAATAGCTTTAAAACTTTCAGTTCTTTGGCTTTATACTAATAATAGACTAACTGTAGACTCCTATATTTTATTAGTTTTAATGATATCGTTGAGAATATATAAATAAGGACCTTATGTATAGAAAATGCAATCATTGATGATAGGAACAGCTTTGGAATTTAAAAGCTGTACTGCAGCTAAGAGATGTGTTTTTAGAAACCGCAATTAGTTTTGAGGACGCTTTGTTTTTATTGACAACATTAAAATATGGATATGTTTACTTTAAGCTTATACATTGTTCCTTAGCCTGGACTTCTGCAATTTTGCTTATTATTTACTTAAAGCGTTTTAAGGAAAAAAATTCTGTTTTAGTACAACATTTAAGGATTTCTGATGCTATTAATTTCACAGATATTGTAAGACATGATCCTAAGCAATCACACCTAAGTTTATAACTTACTAGTTATATTCCAAGTACGTTGCATAATGCCTAGCTGTACCTTATCTTATTAAAGATCCGCTGCTTTAATTTCACGCGTAAAATTTGAATGTGATTTTATGTAGCTTCAGCACTTATGAAAACTCCACAATTTTATTTTGAGACCTTTTATCGTGTGCTCTATTTTTGCATATGCAGAGGAAGCAAAATATGCCTTACTTAGAAGTCTCTTCAACCCGCGTTGCTTTTTCAACGGAAAGGAGGAAGCGGCCAGCAACTTCGCTCGAGGACGTTTCATTCTTGGCGCTGATCTAATTGAGCCTATCATTGACCGCATTCGACAGGAGGTTGAGGCCACTGATAACTGTCAGGGCTTCATTGTTAACCATAGTATCGGTGGTGGCACTGGGTCTGGTCTCACAGTCCGCATCATGGAACACCTCACTAACGAATACTGCAAAGCTATTAGTATTCAGGTTATATTCTACTCATATCTATTTTAGTAGCAGCCAGTAGACTAAGCTCATAAACTTTAATTTTTTAAAGCTACTTTTGCTATTCACTATCATCAATTGTGGATGTACATTTTATTGTCCTTTTCTTTAACTAAGCCTATAATACGCTTAAAGCGTTCCCCTTCTGTGGTTTTGGTGACAACGGCGAGGTTACTCTGCTGAACACTTGAGCGTGACGATCCTCTTTGCTTTCTTCTTTCTAAATACTTTTTGGGCATAAAACACTACTTTTAAAGTCGTTCAGAAATTTTTCACTGGGTTCTATATCCACAAAATCAATGTGAATGAAAGTACAAACTAATTGTTTGTAAAACCCTGTTGTAATACTATAACGATAAAGTTATCACCTTTGACTAAGCGAAATCAGGTAAAAATCCATTATTACGGCACAACATAGAAATTCAACCAAAAAAAAAGTAAAAACCTCTAAATCTTACGCCAATCTACTTACTGTATTGGGCAGTAAACATCTGTGTTACGTAAGGGGACTGGGTGCCCTTTATTTTTGGATAATTGTTAATTCTTAGCTTAAATCCTCTAACACAGGAAACATCGTACTTATGGGGACAGGTCTTCGCTAATATTGAACGAATATTTACAATCTCTTATGTGGAGTACAATGAAAACATCGCTATGCTTAGCATATTTGATTACTGGCACGATGGTAGCAACTTCACCCCCACTTTGCTGCTATTTTCATAGTTCACAAACCTTTACAGAGCAAATTGGTCAGCCAGTAAAGAAAAATTGACAAAATTAAGCATTTATGGAGTGCACTGATATTTATTGTAGTTCCCAATATTTCCGTCAGAATACCTATCGACCACAGTGGTCGACCCTTACAATGCCGTCCTGCATTGCGGTTTCAATGTCCCCAACAGCAATATGACGGTTATGATGGATAACTCAGCGATAATGGGCCTTCTCTCCCGTCACCTTCAAATCGAGAAACCTACGGTCGTCTTCCTAAATCGTCTTATTGCTCAAATCCAGAGCAACTTCTTTTGTGGCTTTCACTACAATGGCGACCCGATCTGTAGCACAATGGAGGAGGTGATCACCAACCTAATTCCCTTCCCTGAGCTCCACTACGTCTACGTCCGCCATGCTCCGATTGTGGCTGCACGTCGTCATGATTACCAAACCCACAATAACCCTCCTGAAGACATCGTAAAAGCTGCCCTCAAGCCTCAGTTCAACACATTATCCGCAGACAAGTACACACGAAGCAAAATAATCACTACGGTTCTCTCTTTCCGCGGTGTAGCTGCCGGATGGCAACGTACTCTGGCTTCCACCATCCTGCAGTCAAAGATGAACCAATCAATGAACATCGTAGATTGGTGTCCCACTGGTGTAAAAGTTGCCGTGCATGCTGTGCCTCCCCTAAAACCCGTGCCCGAGTCCTGCATAACTGAGAGTCCGACCAACCTGACCATGATCATCAATGGGACGGTGACCACTCAGCGCGCGTTACAGACAATTAACGCACAGTTTAACAGACTATACGAACGACGTTGCTTCGTGCACTGGTTCGTAGGCGAGGGCATGGAGGAGGGTGAATTTACAGAGGCCTCGGGCGCTGTTCGTAAAGTCATCGAGCAATACAAGAATGCGGAGATGGTCGAAGAGTAAGGGAGAGGGGTACTCCGGCATATTGCACATTTATGTTTATAACTGTACAGGAAAATGCCTGTGCTGCAGGTGTTATAATTCTTGTAACCAAATAAAACCTGCGATCCAGTATTCTTGTCAATTTCTTTTTAGTAAATAACGGAATTGTTTTAGGCCTTTTTATTTATGCAGTGCACCGCTTTAAATAGAACGAAAATATGAATGCATTTTTTAAATTTTCATAATCCGCAGTTATATATTGCTTTGCTTTTGGGCAAGCGAATATTTCTGTACACTCCAGAGCAACATTTTGTCTCCGTGTGTGTAGGGCACGCATAAAAGAGAAATGTAGAGCTCTTACTGTCCCATTAGTTTGTCGCTATACATGCATTCAGCGCTGCCTTAATAGCTGACCTCTTACGCCATTTGTTTTAGAAGATTCCAAATTGTTCTTCTGGAATATTTATTTGTGCTGCACGTATGTGTATTTGTGCGCATGCGCTCCATAGGAGGGAATATAGCAAGGAATCGGGACGCATGCTGCTGTTTTGACTGCTTCACGTACATCCATTAATGCCCGAATGTGGTCCACCTGGTTGCTTCGTCGTTGTTCCAACACCAGCGCTGAATGCTGGCTTTGGAAGGAAAGGTCAAGCCATCAATCAGAAGACTGTACGATTTCGCTATTGTTAGAAACAAAATATACGTAGCATTGGGTCTCTAGGCCACTTCTTCCTTTTTCCTGCAGGCGGTATTAGAGCAGTGAAAACGCATTCCCAATTTTCTGCCGGCTTTTAATGCCCTTCCAGCAACCTTTGAATTCTCTGTTGGAAATTTAAGGATAATGAAATGAAATGAAAGTAGACTACCGCATTCCCACATATTTCTTACTTCTCTCCCTAATAATAACAAACCAGCAAAAGCCTGCTAACTCATTTGCCCCAATGCAAATCCGATATCTAGAAAACTGTCAATGAGCACACAGTATTTTATTTTAGAGTAAAGTACCATCGAGTGACTCCTTTTGCTTATGACTCGTCCCCCTCGCTCGCACCTATATCCTCCTCTCTCTCCGTGTACAGAAACTCCGGGATGATTTCCGAGTCCTCAGTGTCGGAGACATAGAAGGGCTCCCCAGTATAACGCAGTGGCTCCACTAACAACGGTTCCGCTGAGATAGCCAACAGGTTGCGGGGCTCAAAGTGGGCTAGCCAACGCTCGTTCGGATGGCGGTCGAACATGATTGGGAGGAACTCGTCCACTGCTACCATCTTCTCTAGGGGGCGCTGCACCATCAGTTTCTGCGCCCCCGAACGTCGAAGCACGTAGGCAAGAGTCCAGTAAGTGTAGCTAGGGTACGCAAGGTACCGCGCGCCTCTCACCATCACCTCGTTGCTGGACATGCGTTTGCGGCCCACGTAAAGCAACTCCCAATCGGGTAGCGTCACGTCAGCCTCTTTCACGGTCGCCTGCAGGCGTCGGACGAAGCCTGGCACAAAGCGCAGGTCATCCTCCAGAATCAGGATGCGTTCGTAGTCGTTGACTAGCATGTTCTTTAATTTCATAGAAAGTAAATGATGGGGGAAATTCGACTCTTGTTGAGGAGAAATATGTGCATTTCTAGCTATGAGACTGTTACTTTCTGCACAAAGTACTCAGTAGCGGAGATTTTTACCCAAACTTAATTCACAAATTTAATGTTAAATTTATCTTGACTTAAACATCAATAGACACAAGCATGCTTCAAAAATGATCCGTTCCAGTTTCGGCCGTGGAAGGTGGTGTGATTTAAACTCATCTCGTATGGCTTTCATCAACATCTAAGGAAATAAATATTGTAACAGCAGCAATTTTTGCTATTTGTTATGATGTCGTGCGGGAGCAGAGTATGTTGGGATCCCTTTGTAAACCTGAACTTCCAACAAATGGTGTCAGAAAGCCTTAACCACAATAATGGCTTAAAGTTAATTGACAGTTCCACAGACGCCTTACGAATAAGAACTGCAAGGATTCGAAAGGCCAAAAACGAGAAAAATTTTTAATGGCTACATGTAAGCCTTGTTGTCTATCCAATCACTGCAGTATTTGCATTTTGGCATTTGTTTAAGCGAATTTAAGAAGTCATTTTAAAGAATGTGCATACTCTTATGAGGGAATTTCACATTTCTGTGACGTCTCGCAGTATTTAAAGTAAAAAATGCTTGCGTTTGTGGGCCATTTTAAAGATTATCATACATGGAAATGTAGTTCTGAGGAACAAAGTGCCACAAATCGTAAGGGCAAATGCAGCGCAAAGAAAGTAACCCATTATGTCTTTATTGGACCACGTCGGGAATGGTCAGAAATAGTTTAGTGCATCGCCATCTCCCTCCGAACAATTTCAGTGACCAATTCTATTTACTGTAACAAAGGAGAAAATCACTTTGATTCTCTTAAAAAATTGTTGATTTGGATGGACTTGTAAATGCGTTTTTAAGACTCAGGTCGGTAGTCAAATAAAACACATTGTAGAAACGTTGGAAATAATTCAAATCGGCAATTCCCTACAGATGTATGCAAAAGTATTGGGGTTAGAAATAATTTCAATTGTCAGATTTCTCAGTTCTAGGGCAAAATAGTCTGAAATTTGAGAGAAAGGAGATGGTCGGCACTTAGTATAAGCTTACATAATACAGAGCCTTTTGCCCTGGAAATCAAACATTGCCACAATCGACAACGATTGCAAGGCGTTGGATACCATTTGACATTTAGAAATGGTGGTTTTCATGTTTGCTACTGATCATCAATTCGAACTTGTACATGACTTCGAATCTGTCAAAGTTTGTCTTCAATTTTATACGTTTCAGAGAAACGCAGGTCACCAACGTCCATTCAAAACATTAAACATAGCAAAATAGGATCTCATCCAAAACAAACTTTCTTTTTCAGACTCCCGTGCTTGTAAGCAATATCATCAACTACCCACATTTTGTGGGTTAAATTCTACTCATGAATGAGGCTTTTACTTCTGCTTGGAACGATTTCTGCCATCTAACGAAGCATATAACACCATAATCGAAATATTATGAAACATCCATTTTTGCCACATATTACACTACTGTTTAACTTGTAAGCACTTAAGCCTTAGTTTTAAGTCATATTTCTTCCCTTAGAAATCATTATTAAGGCCTTTGAACCTTCATCTGTCTTTGTTTAAAGTTGGAGAAGGTAACAAACGGAAGAAACTCCTGGAATCGCAAACTAAGCAACTAATGCAAATGTTTTGGCAGGGAGTGATGAACGTCGCTGAAACATTTAAAACTATAACCATTAAATTTGGTTCGCAAATAAATTGACAAATAACCATCGAAATGCATAAATGGTTGACGGGACAGTATATGCTACCTGCCATATCCGATAATGACTCAAAAAGCATCCAATCTCGCCGTACTTGAGTGCTCTCTTGTGATAGGGATCGGCATACCCAGAGAGCTGGGTGATATTCCACTGCTTAATGATCTCCGGGTTCAACTCCCTCCCGTCTGTCGCGCGAACCAGCTTCGCCTTCACGCCCTGCTCACGCAACGCATAGTTCATTTTCTCCAACCTATCCGGCCGCCGCTTCAAGTTGATAAGGTAGATCTGATCGAATCCAAGAAGAGAGGGCTCCGGTACTTCAACAAACTGCTCCAACTTCGGTGAGAATTTTAAAGCAAAACTCTTCAGCAGCGCATCGTCAAAGGCGGCATTCAAACGAAGATGCAAAAAAATTTCAGCCTCCCTCTCCAGAAGGTATTTGGCTGAGTCACGATAGGCTAATGGAATTTCAGCCTCGTCCACGGGCAGGGGAAAGTAGCCATAAAATACTCGATTGTCGAGGTAAAAGTCAATACCCTGTAACTGCGCATTTCGCGCAAAGATGATAATGTCGTCAATCGGTCCAGTGTAGCCCGAGTTTAAGGGCTTGAAGGCTAGACGTTTCTTCCTGGTGTGGCGGAGGTTAACCAGAACTGCTGTGTGAATCATTGCCACGGAAAATATGCCTTCCTTGTGTCTGCGTTGAAGAGCGAAGTAGTCCTGTGAGCGCTTGTAATAACCTTCCTTAGTAATGTCACCCCAAAAGTTGGAAAAGACATCAGAGGTTGTACAATTGAGCATAGGAGCAATCACAGTGATTGGAGCAGGGTACTCCTTCGAGGGGATGGAACTGGCTTCTACAAGTCGTTTTAGGGTCGCATTGTTCAACAGAATGGCGTCTGCATCCAAGTTAAAGAAGAAGTCAGCATTGAGTTCATAGGCGCGTTCAATAGAAGCTTGGCGTAGATTTACCAGATGTTGGTGATGATCTTTTGTCCAGCTAGGGCTAACTGGCTGTAAATTCATCTCATCCATGTCCAAATCGATGCCATGGTACAAATCTTGGACGCTCTCGACCCACCTTTCCAGAATTCGGGCGCTTATATCGATTGTATTATCCAGTCGAAAATTTAGGTGAATTCTTTTTTTAGGGTAATCCAGTTGTTCAAGATGATGTAGGAAGTAAGGAAGACTGTGAGCCTTGTTTCTCACCAAAACTCCAATGCTCACAGAGGGCTCAATTTCTGGAAAGTTGGAGGAAGAATGGGGACAACTTTTAGCCACTGAAAGCACCCATTTGGGGATGAGGATGAAGAAAAACGAGTATGAGAGTAGTCGGCTCATAGCCTACGGAAAATGCGCTATTCCTATGTCTGTTGATGCACAAAGGGGAATGTGAACTCGCTAGAACCTAGGCCACGTCCCTAAAAGACGTGACCCTCCATCGTGCACGCCTGTTTCCGCCTTGGCCACATGACGTGGCGCCCAGAGTGCCTTGATTGGTCCAGTTCCACCAATTACTTTCACCAAACGGCACGGCGAGGTAGTCAGCGTGCTGGTCTGGGTGACCAATCAAAAGGCTCGTATGTAATGCCCATCACTTTATTGTCTTTATTTTATTCTTCGATTGGGGAATAAGCAAGCAAACGAGGGTTGAGACCTCACATGACTATTTAAAATTTAGTTACCGTGACACTTACCACAATATCAAAAAAGATTGGCACTATCTGCAACTGAGAAAAATATACCAACACATTAAATGTACTTATGTTTATCGGAGCTGACGTTTAATGTCAAAATTTTGGCAAATACCCATTTTAAAGAGATATACTGTTAACTTTAAAAGCTTATTTACCTTGTCCATATTCGCACTGACCCGCGCTGTGGAAGGTTGTTGACTGGAATCAGATGGCCTATGAAGTAGAGTGAGGTTTGAAGACTCCAAATGTCCAACCGATGAATCCCCTTTTGCTGAATCCACTGCAACCTAAAGAGTGCACAGCGCAGTTGCGTAAGTAACGACATTTTTAATTTAGTCAAGGGATTTGGTATTCAACGTTAGGCAAAGAAACTAATCAGTTCAGTAATACGAGAAATGTCCCTCTTAACGCTATCCCACCAACGGTAAACGATTTTCTTTTCATCATAGTTACTGAGCTTTTTAAAGGATGGCACAAACAAAACGTTAGGATTAGTACTTCTGTGTACCTTTCGTTCTGAAGAAAATAAGTTGTAATGTAGTCGAGGTTAACTAACTAACATGCATACTGCATAAAATGAATTTGCAATCGAGATGGGAGTTCGCATTTTTCTACATTACAATGTCAAGATGTATTTAACTGATTTTTCCAGGAATTTTATGCAGATGTGAATTTTTGTATTCGTCAGCTAAGCACTATGGCATCGTCAAATGATAGCATCAGCGAAAAGGTCAGATTAGGCAAACTGTTTGATGAATTAACAAAGTTAGGGACTTTTTGCGCATTTTTGCCCCTTTCTCAGGCAACACTTTCAGCGCTCTTTACGTCAATTATGCATTTTCTTCCTAGAGGTAACTGCGTTTTTCTCTATATGATCGGTGATTGACACATGTAATCTGCTTCTGCTGCCGTGGTTTCCACTTGGTCTTTGAGCCCTATGGCCTGATTCTTGCCGTTTGCCTTACCAACGCAAAAACTGTAGTGGAAATTTTCTTTCAGTGTTTTCTGTCCTGTTCCAAAAAATGGGTCGAATGGTTCACATATTTCATAAATTACTTCAAAACACACTTTCCAATTGCCAGCCATGCGATGGCGAGTTGGGCGCACTATTAGTTATTACACAAGCCATTGAAGAAATGGCCTTAGGAAGATATGGCGGTCCTGAATTAGATCTTCATATTGAAAGTGAAAATTTTACTTCAATTCCCATCTGATGGTACAATTGCATGCATTTGGGTGGCTCTTGTAGCAATTCGCTTTTAGCAGCTGTGAAACAGAACTGCTGATTTGAAAGTGTCGTTCAAAAAGTAAGAATGCAGAAGGCTATCCACTATTTAGCTTAGCATGTCAAGCGCCAACGGAAAAATGCTTATAAATTATACAGTCTAATTCGTTGCATCACAGTAAGCACAGTTGTATAACGACTGTGAAACATCACCAACTTGAAAAAAAAGTTGTTAAGAATGAATGAAACACTTAATGCATAAAACCACTTCCCAGTGTTAAGGTCAATGACGGTTTTGTCCGATACACTTAAAAGAAGTTGGTTCACTCACAGACGCATTTCCGTTCCTTCCACTAGCATTTAATTTCATTAACGACCTTCTCTGCCACTAAAAAAAGCACTGAACATTTCATTTAGTGTAAAAATTTGACTTCAGGAGAAAAGACGAGTGCCACGCGGCGACTTATTTTATGACACAGGATTAGCGGAGTCAGACTGACCGAATTGTCGGCAAACGGAAACACTTAGCCAGAGAAGATAGTTACATCAGGTTATTGCAATGCTACGATTATTTGTTAAACATTTCCTTTTGGTTCTAAGGTCACCTACGATTTTTAAACATTAGCAAAACGGAATGGCTTCCAGTCCTTCTGCCTTCTTTCACTATTAGAAAAGCTTCAGGAGGCTACATTATTTCTTTGGAGCACACTATCAACCAGATCTTTTATGGGTTATTTTTGCAAAGTTGTGTAGGACACTTAAATAAAATTCTATCAGAGCAGGTTTCTATAGAAATGCAGTCTTAACTTACAAGCTTACCACAAAATAAACAATAAACTAGCATTTTTATGGTCCTTAGAGCACTGATCGTGGTCCTGCTCCGTTTCGAAAATCTCTCATTATGCATTGCTTAAATTGTTTGTTTAACCCTCGGTTTTAATAACGCACTACCTAAAGCTCCGTCACTGTACCTTCGCCGAGTAGCCTGGCCTCTGGGCCAGGCCGGTAGCCCCAAGCCCTTCTGTAGGTCGACAGCACGTATTATGCCTTCTTTCGTCTTCAGGGTAGACTTGGTGCGTCACAGTTAAGCATCGCTATAAGGTTGTGCATTAAGGAAAGTCCGCTTTCAATGGTAAAATTTTTAGGCGCAGTAGAGGAATTGCTCAATGGTTTATGATGAATTATCTGCGTTCTGTCTCACGAATGCTCCGAATTTTACAAGCTGGTTACTTTGTGTCTTTTTCTGATCGTCTTGAAGAGCATGTAACTGTCGCAAAAACAAAACGAAATACAACTGTTTTACGTTCGCGCTTGACGTTAAGAGGCATCAACGGGATGGAAAAACACGGACTGGCCCACAGATGAGAAAGGATGTAGAATGCCTACTACTTGTTTAAGAAAGTTGTGTCAATTTGAAAGTAACATCGCTGTAGACGTGCGCTGTTTAAATGAACCAAATGAGATGCAATTTCGATTACGAAGAGGAGGTTACAGTAACTAAGTGTGAATCAGCACTGAAGCTTTGAAACTGTCCCACATGAAAACCACCATCAGGTACGCAGTATGCGGCTAAATCAACCATTTGCGGAGAAATGCAAGTGAAAAGTGGAATTGCGTCGGCACATGCGGAATGTTTGAAGCGGATGTGACTGCGAATCCACGAGAGGAGATTCTGCGTTAGCAACCTTATGTAGCTTGACCGGCTAGATCCTTCCAAGCCCCCTCCTCGGCCAAACTAGTGACACAGCGCCCACATAGCCCACCCGCAGATGAACAACAGATTTGGTTCAAAAAGTTTACAGGAGTAGTTTCTTTAACTGTAGCTGACTCCTTGTCGGTCTCTCAATCAATGCCGTGATGTCCTCCGCTGGATTAATAAACCGACCTTTAGGAGTCGGGGAAATGAGTTACCAAACAGTTTGCCGTTACAAAATATAAATTCAGTAATGGTATTTGTGGCGATATAGTTGCGTCGTCAATGTCATTTCCATATTTGTGTGAACAAACGCGTTTGTGATCAGTGTCGCAGGTACGTGACGCTCAAATTTTCTTATCGAATCCTGCACGTTACACGTATGAGGTAGTTAACCTGAAAAAATTCATTTCAAGTAAAAAGAAGGAACAAACAAAACAACCGGAGTCACAAGAAAATAATAAACCATAGTATTTTGATTATTTGTCTAACTTCCCGTTTCTGTATAGAGGACACTTAAGGCTTCGCCTTTATACCTCCACTGAGCCGCATGGCTCCCTCCAGGCCATGCCAGGAGTCCCCAACCCTTCTGTGCGTCAACAACACTTACTCTATCCGAGTGTTACGACTTCTTTCGTATTAATGAAAGAGCCAGGGCGAGATAGGACCATGTGAAGTCGGCTTTTCGCAAAGATCATCGTAGCGAACGGAAGGAAATGGACTTTACTCTTTGCTAGTGTCAAATGTGAGAGGAAACAGCCAATTAATTAAGTTGGCTGAGCTTTGAAAGCTAGCATTCACACATTATAATAGGAAATTTACACCTCTGTTGAAGGAGAAAAGTGAGAAAGAATAAATGAGACTATACTCTGAAACAAATACTATGCAGATCCTCAACAAATATCTAAATGTACACTAATCTATCGTTTAAGTGAAACATCAGCCAGCACAATGCGTTTCAGCCATTGTTGAAATAATGTAAATGATAAATGTCGAACCCACCTGTGAACCGTCACTTTTATCCGTAGCATGACAATCGTGAAAAACGACATCCCAGCGCTGGTACATGAAAAGTGCTTTGCCTTTCCTCCGTACTATATACTTGAAATAGATCACGTTAACAAATTCACGAGGTGTTCATTCTTATGCACATGAAAGTAAGACTGCTATTTTTCAGACACCACCGGCACAACAACAATTCAGTTATTTTCGAGACACTCCTACAAAACCCTCACTACTCCATCCACAGCTAGCCTGTACAAATTGGATTAATTCGACTCGTGGGTTGAGAAGAAGAACTTAAGGAAGGCTCACCGAGAAAATATCAGACCGCCAAAGACCTGACCTCCGCTTTCGGCAGAAACTTCGACTAGGAAACCGTGTGCGTTAACTGTTTGGTGCTAAGTGTGTCAATTGTCTGGCGACTTGACGTTTGAAGTGAGAAGCTATCCTCATGATTTTATATTTAAATGAGCAATTTGAACGATTTTTGAAAGAAATCTAGTAAAAGTAATTAACCGCTTGAAAGTATAGGTGGGGGGGGTGAATCTACAATTTCTAGAGACCCGAATGTTTTTTCTTTATGTCGGAGGCATCAGAAGTCATGACAGCAGAAAAACCCTGCCGACTGGAACCTAAAAATACCCATTTGGAAACACTATTGGGGAGCTGACCACTCGGCGGGGACTTGAGAGTTGTCTGTCTCCAGGATCAGAAGGGGGCCGTTACCACATTGTTATTAACAAATCGTTTCACAACCCTAACAAACCCAATTTAATGAATACTAATAATCTTACAGGAAACTAATTGACGATGCTCACTTTCTCACGGAGTTCCCGACAATTTACCTGATGTTACACAGTGGTTAGGGGCGGTGTCGGTTCTTGAAGTGACCAAAACTGCTGCAAAAGCGAACAATCGGGTTGAGCCGCTGATTAGTACTTGGGCTGTTGCTGACTGCTGTCTCCTGCAGACAACAAACACAGGGGCTATTTGAACCTTACACTTTCACCTACGCAATTATGGTAGTTTCGCATTAAAGTACTCGAGTTTTTGAAATTCAACATCCGAGATGATTGGCATTGACATCCAGTGGTTCACTTTCTTAGTCCGCAGCATTCATTTAAAAATTTAGGCAATGAAAACTTATGTGTTTGAGTGAACGGCTAACTTCGAAATATCTTCGTGCATTATTGGGTTTCTTAAAGCTGAACGACTTCACTTACTTTCATAGTTCGAGTCTCTTTAATGCTACATTTGACAAATGCAGAAAGTAAAAAACTTATGCAGAAAAAAGCAGCTCTCCCGCTCATTATAAAGTTAAGGGATTGCATTTTAAACTCAAATAATTGGAAAATGATACCCCCTGTGAAGATGTCATTCACGGCCAGCATGTTAAACATTCACTGCCACTCATCCATTTAGGTAATTTCAACCATTTTCCACGAGCGGCATAGCACCCATCCCCTAATTCACTTAAGCCAGCACCGCGGTCAGCACGTCACTCCATATTATCTTTGCCAAACCGTGATATATTGTTCATGTGTTAGCAATAAGCGTATTAAACTATCACTTACACACTCTTTGTTATGAACAAACCAATCGATCCTGCATATCATGATTTTCGGACCAACGCAAAGAATCTCCCAGAAGAGTATTCAATACGTTATCTGGTTGGTGAGTTCGAATAAACTTCCACTCCAGAGGTTTTCTAGGCAATACACAGTGATCAACCGAGGAGAAATGTTGCGTTCTCCTCGCGACAAGAGAGAGCGTGGCAGAATTACTAGTTGGTAACAAGAAATCAAGAACAGGTAACCGAGCTATTGTCGATTCTAAGAGTGCGCAAGGCAACCGAAGACGATAGAAAACGGTGTTGCACTTGCATGGTTTCAAGCCCACCAATAGACCTGCTACTTATAACTTTTGAGTAAAAGCACAGGTAAGCCGCAAGTCGGTGACATAGAAGCCTAAAAGAATTGCCCCCAGATAACCCATAAGGAAAATATTCCAGTACTTTCTACCAAAATCTGCAAGGATCTATGTCACTATAAGGTGAGAACGGTTAACAGTCACTTCGGAAGTCGAACGTGATCGAGCCTTTATATGAAAGCAAATCAACTTCATGTTTTGCTACGATAAAGTATCACATCATGCCAATCAATAAGGGCAACACTTATTCCAATTTCACAAGAAAAAGATAAGCTTGAAAATACACATAACATATTTACAGTGGACAAAAGCAGACAGTTACTTTTTGTTGGAAAGACGACCCCGACCTTTTCCACCCCTGGCGTGACGACTGGGACCACCTTTCTTTCCCTTCTTACCTCGGTTTTTCACTGAATGCTTCTTTCTGAAAACAAATGTTTACGGATAATTTAACACAGGTTATCAATACAAAGAAGAAAAGACAGTAAATTAGGACCATTAATGTCAAAGTGGTCAGTTCGAAAGCTAAAAACGATTCAACGAACAAACTAACTTACTCTGCTTTGTTGGCAATCTTTTGTTCGTTGATTTCCTGTGAAAAAAGGCCCATAGAGGCATCTGAGCGCTTGGTGATTTCCAGAGCCCGACTGAGGATATTTTTAGATGCCTCAGATTCGGTCAGAACCCCGAGAGGAGGAGCTGAAATAATTAGCAAATCTGTCGTAGCTGATATTTGATTGCGAAGTTGACATGGCGAAAGATAAATGGAGATACTAGACTGTGCCAACAAAACAAAATCCAGCTAGTGCATTAATATTGCACGAAAAGACTGATTACCTTGACCCTTTTTCACCGTTCGGGCAATGTTCTTTAATCTTGCAAATTCATTCTTAGCCCTTCTTTCACTTCGAGCCCTTGACAACTTCTCAAACTGGTCCTCGTACGGATCTTAAGGCGTAAAAGTGGTGCTGAGTACCATTAAAATACCTGCGTTATCGGGAACTTCGAGAACCCACTTATCCTTCACGGAATCCACACGATCCTTGCCCCACCTGGGCTTCCAAGACTGACTAGCCTCGTCCCAGACTTTCCTAGACTTTTTGCGTTTCTTTATACCCTTCATTTGGGCGAATCTCTCCCAACGAGTTAACTCTTTCGCTTTCGGAGTTCGCTTTTCACGTGGAAGCCTGGATACGGGATCAGGGAGCTAATCGACACTTATAAAACCAAACATTCTTACAACTGAAACCAATATCCCGTCGTTGGTTTCTGTTGGGAGCTATGGAGCCATTAGATCGGAAAAAGATGGACTTGCCTTCCAAAACTCCCTTAGGAAGTGCTGAGTGCAATCTAATGTTAGGCTTCGAATAAATGCCTTGTTGCTACGACAATAAACAAGGATTAACCAAATCCACTTACACATCTTTTGGATCTATAGGTGCTTTATCTTCATATAAAAGATTGCCGAGATCGTATTCCGCTAAAAGATGACGACTTGCGAGATCCATGACCCGAAAAGGGTGGTTTCAATTTCGCCGCATGAAACTGCCAATCAGTGCGCTGGGTTAGGTTGTTTAAGTCAGTTGGAATCAAAAAATACTAGGCTAATATTGCAGTTATTGAAAACTGTTAGTTGAAATACTTAACTCACTTTTGCTTAATATGTTAAATTTTGTCATCACATGCTCTAGAAATTTTAAAATGAGACAGGCGAATCCCTTTTTTTGTGCAACAAGACCACCGAGCCCTTAAGCCATTTTGTCTGTCAGATGAGTTCATTGAACCCTTTCAGGAGGCCGACTGTTCATAAATTTTTAAATCTAATTTGGCTATTTCTACGGCAAGCCAGATTAAATCAGAGGGAATTTTTGGATGAATAATTGACATGGCATTGTTGCCATGTTTGCTTTGATCGGCATTAGAAATAGAGCAATGTCACTAGTGGATCCAAATAGCAGTCCTCGCAATTGAACGCACACTCTTCTTGATTTACACATATGAACTCGCAATACGTTGAATTACAATTAGAATGCAACATGTTGATTTGCTATGCACGTTTTCCCTTACTGCATCTTTCGGTGAGCTAAATCGTAAAACTTTAATTTTCCTTTATCAAGTTAGGGAATTCTTAACTTCCCATAAACCTTTCTTTCTTTTTCGCATAAGGCTATCCTTTCACCAAACACACTCGAGGTCGGAGGTTGACAGGTAAAGCTGTCAAGAAATCACAGTATTATTTCATTTGCTTTAAAATACAAAGAAACGAAGTGTTTCACTGATTACTTGCCGTTGTCAGGACCTAGTAATTACAAAGTGCCAAATCCATAATGTGTTTCCCAGGCAAAAGTCACAAATGAGAATCTAGATTGGTGTAGCGGTTTTTTCTAGGAACTGCCTATTTGTTTGTAAATACTTTAGGAATTTCGCTGTATATACCAGTCTATAAAACAGAATAAAGTTGCTACCCTCAAATAGATTTTGAACATGTCCTACTTTGGCACTTCTTTTTAAACAATTCATTTATATTTAAGCGGATCCTTTGTAGTGTCTCGAGCCCTTCCTAAACTAGTAAGAAGTCCTAGTATCATGGCAAAAAGCACATTACCGTCGTACATAAGGACTGAGAGGATACTGCCGTGACTCGGATGTCGTGCCACCGAGCGGAAGTACAGTCTGCAGATACTGAAATATCTGCAAGATCAAACGCAGAGTTAAGCAAACTGTCAGAACACAGCGCAATACTCCTATCTTGCACATAATAGGCCTAGCTTGAAGTACATCAATTAAATCATTTCGGTAGTCAAACTGCCATTCTTCACTAATGTTTGGGAACGAATCAAGCTTGAGAAATGGCTTTATCAGGTTGTTTGCACATCAAAAAGGGTAAAGTGACCCGGACACATGAGAGGAATTTCCTGAAAGAGGTATAGATTAGGGTACACATAATCTTGTCCTCTCTTCTCTATAAAGTACGGTGGAGATCTTTACACATGTGTGATGATATCTAAAACAATTTCATCTGTGTAAAGGCATCTTCCAAAACCACCTTCATTTCCAGTTAAGTAAACCTGGAAAGTTTTGGAAGGACCATGGACGAGAATACTTGGATGGCAAAATCATTTTAAAGAAATTAGCGGCCTTTCAAAAAAAAACCTCCAACTAAAATCGACCCTCATCGGGAATACAATTAGTTATAATGCTGCTTCATCCCAAGTTATTTTCATAAAATTAGTGGCGTACCTCTATGAAAATAGAAACTATCCAGGCTCTGCCTCAATGTCACTATGCTATGGTGAATCCTAATTTATGAACATTGGAAATTTATCTAATTCTCATGCTGGTTTGTCTGGAGACGATGAGCTGGAGGTTAGAAATAAAACCGACTCAATTTTGCGGGTACTCGAAGGGATCTCCATTCCTGGTCGTTGTTTTCAGGTCTGTAATATCCCTTCAATCTTAGCTGGAAATATCGGTTTATGCCCATTCTAATGCGTGCTACTGCGACGAAAAGTACTTCCTAGGTTTCCGTATTCAGATATGTTTTTTTGATGTCGTTAAAAGACACGACGATTAAAAAACTGGATAAAATTCGATTTGGATTTTCACATAGACACCTACTTAGCCATAAGGTGTTAACTACTGTTCCAGCTCACCGATTTCGTCGTAAACAACCACGAATGATTAATATAAATTTTATATTTTACGACTGGTTACAGAGTAAATCACGTAGTTTTGTCATTACAGACCTGAATATGTTGTCTGTACCACTCTTTGAGGCATAAAAGCAACAACAGAGGGTATTGGGGGGAGGGGGCGGGCAATACTTCCTAATGGAGGTCTGACGCCAGCCTGATTTATATTGGTAGAACCATTAACGTGGTCTTGAATAGAGCACGACCATCCGTCCCGTCGCCCAAGGCCAATGGGGTTTAACGTTTCATACAGAGGGATTTGATATTACTGTTGCTGGCACAATGAAAGCACAAATCTCAATAGTTGTATCCACCGATTGTATAATTCCCGGGGGAAACCAGTAAAATATGACAGAACAAATTGAAACTTAACACGGAAATTAAGTGCGACAACTTATTTGCGCTAAATAAATTTTATTCTAGATGAACAAATCCGTTTCAAAAACATTTTTATTTCTCTTTGAATAAACCCCTCAAACACGGGAAAAAAGCCCAAGGGCATCACGAAAAATTCCCAAGACATACTGGTGAGGTTGCAAATTATTAACCAAAATGATATGTATTCATTCAGAACTAATTTGAGTATATGCAAGAACCCGTCCCATCGGTCAAAAGGCGATGCCTAAGTTGTTATGAGCTGAACCAAGCGTTAATTTGCAGCGCCCCAGACTTCCCTAAAGACGAAAGAAGACACAATACTTGGGTAAAATATGTAATACCAACATGCAGAAGGGCTGGAAGCTAGTGGCATGGCTCAGATGCCTCGCTGCCCAGTGGAAGTACAAAGGCGGCACTTTAAGTGCCGGTGAAACAAAAAGGTTAGTTAAACAAAAACTCGAAATGTTGCATATTTGTGCCACATAAAGATCCTTCAGTGTATAGGAGTGCGATCGTCTCAAGGGCTTATGGTTTGATTCCCCTATACTAACATCCAGCACTTTATGTCTTCATGTGTACATAACGGTATGACGCCCTTTCTTCACCAATTTCAACCAACCATTCATTCACATTTAGTTAAAGCTTATGTGCAAAGATATGTATGTTTAAATGCACTGAAGGACGCTCATTAAAAAGGGAATATGCTCGTTTTTTAATTTCATTTGATTCACTGGCTAAAAAGTTGTTAGAAAGAGACCGAAAGAGAGCACCAATTTTCCTTAATATTGCCTTCTTATCGAAGAAGAACGGAAACTGCCTGTCCTGTGAGTAGGGTCGAAGGTCTGTTATTTCGCTTCTCTCCGCTCTAATGGAGCAGTCATGCATGGCGATTCTAAAATGAGCGCACGGGATATAAATCAACATTTCCGGCTCTTTATGATCAGCGATAATGTTAAGCAGTCTGTAGGACATATCGAATCAAATCTTGCCTATGAATGACCGAAGTAGTCTCTTTTGGAGATTGTGTCATCTTATATACAAAAATTTGTGCATAGAATGAGTGACGTACCTACAAGTAAGGTATTTTTCTTTTCCCACAGTTTTGGGTCGGTAATACCCGTATCGTAAGAGGTTTAAGTTCTGAATCTCCCTTGCAAAAACTAGGTAAACCCTAGTGTGAAACTTTGCCCCCAATCGTCCGCAAAAAAACGCACCCTGTGGTAGTCCAGGAAGAGTGATCCATTTTGAGACCGTATAGTCCACCAACAGAAATGTGATACTCTACAAACATTCGCAGGACGCCTCGGAGTGATTGGTGGAAATAAGCATTTGTTTTGATCTCTAACCAATCAGCGAGCAACAGCAACATCTCAGGGCTTTGGGCATACGCTGGAATACCATGAATTTACATTCCCTTGGTAGGTTTCATGAACCGGACAGTTTCAATTGCTCTAAGGGTCCTCGTGCTGCTACTCGTTCGGACTCACAAGACTAGTGGATGGAGTAGGCGCTTGCTGTTTCATGACAATTCAATTACGGGGGTCTTTTTGGAGAAAGACCTTCTACCAACTCTTGCCAAGCATGGTATGTCCTCCACCTCTAATAAAATTCTCCTCTGTAATACTACTAGAAACTCAAGATTACTAACGAAAATGATCTTACTGATTTAAGCTTCCTTAAAATGGCATGCAGTGGCGTCACGGAGCGCAAATTAAGAACTTGGATTACTATATATAATATTTTAAAAGGACCGAAATTACACGAATATGGCCGCAGCATAAAGTGAGGCGGGCAAAATGTCATGCCCCTTCTGCACTCCCCTTACAAAGTCAGATCCGGTGGAGGAAAATTAGGAAGCCTCTATGTACTAAAATACCTCATTCTGCATTTACGTTATTGGCATACTCGTTGGTGCTTTGTGGCTGGGTGGTGAGGATCCCCTTCTTCCAGTATTCCATGATTCACCAAAATAAAATACAATATTCACATAGCTGATATAATTATGGCCCAGTCATTACCGTCAACTACCAGATTTTACGGGAACCCTCCCTCTCCCAAGACTCATCTGTTCCGACTCAAAAATGGTCTGAAGGTAAAGTAGAAAAACAGTGTCAGACCTTTCACATTGAGAATCTTCTCTTGCAAAGTAGGGGAGGATTAAACGTGGGCTTTTCATTTGTGATGAAAGGGAATACGTTTGCACGTCTACGTAGACGGGTTGAATCAAATTTCCCTACTTATCATTTGGAAAGAGGAAGGGAGCTAATTTGCATCCCACTTTGTTTTTCCTCAACCAGGACCGGAAAGCTATGATAGTTAGCCAAGGTACAATAGTCGCATTTAGATTATTTTACCTCTTCCAATCGGTTCTGCTTTTACTATTGTCAATTCACCACAAGCCCAAGGCTAGTCTTTTGATCTTAACTAAAATCAGCATTTTAATCCTCACACACTCTTTTGAGTGACTGCAGGTTGTTAAAAAGCTGACTGTTGTAAGTTAACTTGTTTATATTGTATCATTTCGATTCCGGACGTTCCATCTTCCAAAGCATACTTTTGCCACTTTTATTGTGAAATTGAAAATTATCGTTTACCGGAGCAATGTATGGTTAACTTTAATGACGGTGCAGGTTATGGAGGCATTAAAATAAGTAAAAATTCAGTTTATTTCGTTTTTCATAGAATTCATTGCTGCAATGCAAGCATGTCTCATTGACCAGAAGCCATTACTTAAATGCCTCCGCAATAATTAGGATGTCAAAAGTTTGGAGATGTGATTACGCAAAATTCGTACTTTGTCTCATTCTTACGACCTATTTCAATTTGAAGGCTTTAAGTTTGTTAGGGAACAAAAGCCCTGACCCCTGCCTCTGAGACAAACCTATGCACTGCTTTTGCAAGCAAGCTGTCGGCATTGTGGTTTCTGGCTACTTAAATATCACGGAGGAATAGCTTTACCATTGCCAACTTGTTTATACAAACTTTTCGGTTATATTTCAGCAAGAGGACCACCCAAGACTGCAATTTCCAGCTGCTTTGAGGAGTGGTCTAGAAGATAACACGGGTTCTCAGCATGCCCTGACATATTCGAGAGGAAGGAGAAGTGGCCACATAAATCTTTCACAGTTCTTAGAAAATAATTTGTGCGGGTAGTGAATGCAAGCGAACATTTCATTAATGTGAATTGACAAACAAGTTGGACAGTCCAACTGTGAATATGATCCTCACCTTGACTGACATTACAAAAATTTCGGCCTTTCTATTCAGTTCGATAGATTTGACATGCATCATGTCGGCATAAGATGGATTTCTTGAAGAGTTGCGTGGATTCTAAGATATTATTGTCACATGACTTTGTGAGTTTCTGCCCTGTTTTGTCCCAAATGGACACCGTGGGGCTTTCTGCCATATTCTCGAAAATGTCGCGATTCACTGTTTCATTTTCATCTCGGTTTGCGTAGAAAATTAGTTCCCTGATAATGATAAAAAGATTTTAAAAAAGGAAAGGTCAAAGCGTTTTTTAGTTGTTTAAGCATTACAGCAATGAGGCGCCGGACATCGGACGAATGTTTGTTATGAAGCAAGTCTGATGAGAAATGATATTTTTAAACTAGAAAAACTGAGTTAGGAGGATCTCTAATCGTATCAAGACTAAAAGAATGCAGAAGAGGATAGTGAATTGCGCAATCTTTTCATCAGTGCCTAAAACTTAGGTGACCAAGACTTGTGAGCGTTTACTCTTTACCATGTCAAATTCCCACAGGTTCGTTGAACGCTTGGGCTGGTTCATATGTGGTGGGTAAATGCATAGCCCCTCCCAAACTCTCTCAGCGCGGATTCACAACGATCGAAACAGTTGGATACATGTTTGCGAAGGATTTTGCTGTTTCAAAACGGAAGCGCATTTTGATACTATGACGAGACATTTCAAAATCGCCTGTTATGACAATGATGGAAAATATGATATCACTTTTCCATGTAGCCTTCCTTGCGCTTCTGTGAAGCCCCCTGTTAACAGGGGAATGTCAATAGACATTTTTAATGCGGCAATAACCGATTGGATTCTAAAGCACGAAATTTAAAGACTGCATGCGAAAACTTTCACCCAACATGCGAATTGGATACGTGATATGAAGTGCGGCGTCGCAGCTGTTCCCATGGGTGTCTGGTAGATTCCAGGCAAAACGCCCCAAGTTTTCAATCAGCAGCTGGTACTCCATACTCCTTTTTTGTGAAAAGATAAATTCATAGCTCAAATGAACTCCACATCACTTAAAAGTGGCATAAATCTTAACTGCATAAACTTGAGCACATTGATAAAATTGGTTCCAGGGGGAAAGGTGACGCCCATCATTTCAGTAGGACTAGGAAAGCACATACCAAGGCAGTGTTGAGAGGAGACAAGATAATAATAACATTGGCCGGCTGCATAACTAGGTGTAGTAATGCATAAAGACGTGTCGAAGCGCGACTCGAGTAAAAGTAAACAGATTCTTGCCAAAGCAAAAAACACCTTCCACAGCGGCAGGGAAATAACGAAATGTGACCAGGATGGGCTGAAGAAGGTTCATAAGAAGTTCCATTTAGAGTCAGCAAGTGTCTAGCTTTACTGCTGTTTATCGTGTGATGCTGACTTTGAGATGCTTCTCTCCTCAATCAGAATCAATGAGGCACCTTCACTGGCTCGCATCCATTTCATTGGTACTATTTATTGTTGATAAGCGCAACGCTTCTACTGAGTGAGTAATCAGTAAAGGTGTTAGTTTTCATAACTCACCTTTCTTGCGAGTTTGCTAAATCCAAAAAGAAGGAAATTTTTAGTTAATCATAGATTCAATGGTATATTTTCACTGTGAGGTTGATTTACTTAATTTTTAGAGGTGAATATGGGTATTCGACATGAGCTGAAGTGTTTTTTAGTAAAAAATTGTTATTTATTGCGTCTTCCCCTACAGCTCCTGAAAAGTTTGTCAACATAACAGTGGAAGAAGGTGCGCCTGAACTCACGTTGCAATGCGATAGGAAAGAACGTCGAGTGGCTTGGTTCGTAGAAAATAACTAAAACTTTTTTACATGTTTGCCCTTGTTTAGCCCGAAGGCAAATACGTTTTCATTTCCAAGTTTTAAAATAGCAAGGTTTCAGGCGACTGGGGATACTCACATTTCGTGCAATCACAATACAAATTAAGATACAATGTCCTTCAAAATAATTCAGGTACAATGTGTAGGAACTGTAATTTATGGAGATTTACAGAACTGTGGAACAGATTTCGGCCAAAAGGGATTCGCTCTGACCACAGTCTTGTCTACTTTAGGTACAAAGATGGCTTAAAACTGCATCCTTCACCACGTCTTCAAGTCAACTCAACTGGGAGTCTTCGAATTCTGGATATAAGCGGAGATCACACTGGAATATATCGGTGCTTCGTGGACCTTCAAGCCAAGGCCAAATTGGTCAGGAGCTATTCAGTTCAAGTGGCGTGTAAGTTTATAACTGGCTGCAACCGGTGTACCACACCAATGAGATCGTTCATTTTAAAACTAGACAAATTTAATTGTTTATCACACTGAAGATAGCAACCTTTTCATCACCAAATATTGACAAGTTTACATCGGAAAATTAATTTGTGAAGAATTGCTGGAAAAGTGCTTCAGCTCAATTGGCACCACAGACATAGAATTCCTACACCCTTTCTAGTAACGGTCAATTAATTCAGTCTACTTGCTGAATAAAGCAAATCAGAAAATGACACATTTGAAGAACGCCTTGCTTTAAACTTCTGAAAAAGTTGTCATTGGAGACCTATGCACTGACCTCTCTCATAAAGGTAGACTCATGCTCACCATCCACTATTTTAGTTCTTATTTATTTATCTTAATCAACTTACTACAAGAGGAGAAGCTTCAATGTAATTTGGATGAAGAAATGAGCATCCAAGGCAAGGGTTAAAATAGCGTTTGGATCCATCTAATTTTCACCTGATAATAGATGTCTGGAAGAGCGAATTCCACGACCTCGGAAATTCGGTTTGGAGAGAAGCGCGCGAAGTCGTCCACTAATGAATAGCTTCGTCTTGCACGGACGTTGTGCACACTCCTACAAAGAAATATGCTTTCATTCACTCATACGCAATTGATATTTTGGGAAGAATACCTGTTAGCACGACCTCTATTTCCTGGGTCTGGCTCTGAAATTTCTTCCTACTTGTAAAGGCATAACTCACTAGATCAGGAAGTTGTATTTTCCCTCATATGGTTGCTTTATTTTTAGCAACACACCAAAAAACAATCGTGAGATATTGTAGTATTCATGTAATTTAAGCTGCTCCAGTTCTTCGCTCAGTACTATCACAATTTAGCCCTTATTTTTTCAAAGTACCCTATTTGTGTCATGCCACTGCAATCCATCGTGTTATATTATGTGAATAAAGCAACTGTTAATTAGCCCCTGACCTCAAATAAAGCATTTTTAGCATTCAGGGTATTTATTGTCTCAAATCCGGGTATTAGTGTTTGTGATTATGGTCTGCACTCGTACCACCTCTTGGTGATTCAAATGTCCATCTACGATATTATTTCACGAATTTCCAGTGGATCAAAATTTGCATCGTTACAGATCCATCATCGCATAGATCAACCCTCTGTTGAATTTAATCCATCGAGTGCTTGATGAAGTGAAATAAGCTGGAAAGTGACACATTTTGCCGAACCCAATTTACACTGGACGTAGACTGCTTTCGGAGTGCACCATTTTTATGGCCTACATTCACATAGCATTGCATATTCGGCTGGGGTTAACCCATTCCGGCGTGTTTACTCATGCAGACCTAGTAATTCCTCATCGATCATCATTTTTGCGTTTTTCAAGAAAATTTTACCCTTTCGGAATCAGAAAATAAGGTGGCAAATTTAATTGGTAAGAAATGGCGCTGTCTCTCTGTTAGCACAGGTAGTGCATGACGCACTCCTTCTCCTCCAAGTTAGGTTATGGTAATGTGAGGTACGCAAAGATGTTGCTTTCAAACTAAAGTAACCTTAATGTTAATCGATGTTACTACTTCTTTAGCTTATAGCCAAACCACCTAGTTGTAAATGTGAATAAGCACCAAGATACTGCAGTAGTCGCTGTCATTGGTCAACCACTAGATGCATGTTAGGTAGTGTGTGCTACATTGTGAATTACAATGTGTATTTGCTTTGCAATGGTAAAAATGGAAGACAAGCCGGTGACGTTAAGGCACTTCGCCAAATCTATCTACCTGACTGCGGGTCAGCCGGGTCACATTGTTTGCTGTCTGTCGGGCTTTCCCGGGATCACGCAGGTCATGTGGCATCGAAGTCCACCTTCCGGTATGGTGGGGTTGGAACGAGCTGAGAAGATCTCTACAGGCTTGCAGTCCCTTTCCAACCATCCCTTTTCCACTCAAGAGCTTGTACGAACCTCACATCCCCTAAACGTGAGTAAATAATAATGTGTTGTCCTTGAAGACGTTATAATACCTATTATTCTAGACACTACCGTATTATCAAGATTTAGAAGGAATGAGAGCTTGGAAGACCTAAAAGAATCTGCTAAATCTTGTAAATAGGTGCAATAAACAGAATTTTGACATAGTGAATGGGGTCATAATAAAACAACCTCAAAAAAACTGATTTTACTGAGTTTAGGGGAAAATTACCAACTGTAAATTAATGAGTATCAACGAAATATTGTCATTGATCCGGGTATAATGTCAGTAGTCAGATAGATAAAGCAGCAACAAGGACGTAGTTGAATGAATGTGTTGATGGATGAATTCAACTTGCTACCAATAAATTGTTGCAAGGAAAAACGGTCCCTAGGACCGACCAAGTCGTTGAAACAGTAAACTTCTTAGTTTGGCGACTGGGAAAAATTTTAGGTAAGATCACTTCTTAGGTTGCTGATTCTATATCACAAATCGGCAAGTCTAATTTGTGAAAAATTTAACTCAATATTTTGGTGAAGTTACTTAATCGAACTGGTCCAAATGGGGAATGAGCCGCATTCAGGATGCTTTATTAAATAAGCCTTTGATACAGTCTTATTGCTCATGGAATACTAATGATTTCGCAAGTATTTTACATTCCTTATCCTAAAAAATTCCAAAGACTTTATAATGACTTTTATGGGATATTTATAGTTCGATTCGAATGGTGAACGAATGAACATCAAACCGTGTGAATTCTCAAAGGATTTTGCTCACATACTAGGCAATCTTTTTTAAATGTTGCGTAAGTTACACATTAGAAGCCCAAAGTGGTTATAAAATTTTCGTCTTTGTGTCCATCCTTTAGCAAGACTTAAGCTAATTCTTTGAGGTAAAACTGGTGCTCTCGAATGCGTCCCGAATTACCCGGCCTCGAAATTTGACTCATGAACCTCACATATCCTGTACCGTATTACCTACTTTACAATTCCGTCCGCGATACGATGGCTCTTCAGCATAACTTCAAGATAGACCTCCTCATCTCTGATAAACCCCGTTTGTGCCAACATTGTAAACTACAGTTGTGATTCAGTTGTTGGTTCGGTCGTAAAACTCACGAATATCCGAAGAAGTTTCCCTATAAAACCAAATAATTTGAAATCTTCCAGAGCAATTAATTACATAAGCCCTAACTGAAAAGTAACATTCGGTGGTTGTACACATACTTTGACATCATCAGCCATATTTTAGACAATGCACATTTCTGGATATGAAACGCATTGTATGGAGTGCGATTTCTTTCCTCTTCTCTATCCATAGTTGGATCAATGTCAATACGTTTGACGGCGCAAATGCGAAATAAACCCTTCATAAATACTTTAAAAATAGTACCGAATTGCTACTTCATAGTTTTAGGAAGCATAGAAGTTTTAAATTTCGTGACAATTCTGATATTGTATTTGATTGGAGTTTTGTTTATATGACACAACTTTGATTATGTCAGCTCTTATTCGATGTGGGGATGATTTCAATGATCCTGAGTGAAAAAATCGTAGTCATGGCAAGCATTTTCACCCTTTTAGAGGCGGAAAGTGTAAAAGTCATCAAACCTACCAACTTCCGCTAATGCAGTGCTTACAAACAGCCGGAATTGACAACTGCGTTGAAATTTCTGCTATTAATAAAATGTTGCTGTCCCATATTCTCGTTTGCAATTCTGTCAAAATTTACTTATTGTAGGTTCATTTTCGAACTCCGTCTGAACTAGTCAATGGGGAATTGCATTAGAATAATGTTTCATCCCTTCTTCCCGTCCCTAGAATACAGTTTCTCTCTTTGAATTTCCACATCCTACAAAGTCATCTAGCTTTTATTCGTTTTCGAGGTTTTGTATACTGGTGATGTAGACGAAGAAACAGAAAATATAAATGCAAACAAAATCCTCATTTTGCTTTATTCATGAAGGCTTCCACAAGCATTGCAGAAAGGTAGTGCCTCAAGATGTAAATGAGCTCTAGGCTGTGTCCGTTCACCATGACCAGTAGAGCTTCATTAATGGCTCTCCACTCCAGCACAAATAATTTATTCACTAACGTGCTTTTCTGAAAGGCATAATGCAGTCGAAAATCCCTCAACTTATCACTGAATTGTTCTTGGCCAATATTATCAAATAGAGTGCTTTAATGGAGGCACCGGCGCCACCTTGGCCATTTATCGGCAACTTTACATCAGCTATTGTCAATTGCTGTAAAGATGTCTCCGTTCCACTCGGGCTGACCCGCAAGCAGTTACACCCGCAACCATCACCCCTTCATCCGAACAGTAAGCACGTATGAGTAACGAGCCCCTCGTCAATCTGAATTCCGTTAAACAAAAAATAGCGGTTAAGTCCATGAAGCTCCAACTTCCTTGTCTAGTTATTAAACCTAAACTCACAATGTAATAAAAGTGAAATTTGTTAATACGTCCTAATCTTCCATTAAAAATGCGTTTTGTGCATTTGATGTTTTGTGGCGAGACCAAATTGCCATAAAAAGAATAAAACGGAAAGCCAGTGACTTATTTGATAATGCACATGTGAGTTGGTTAATCGGTTTTTTCAAGGTGTGTGATCTCCTCACAACTCAGTACTTTTGTGTTAGTACACCGTTCTTATCATCTCATAAGACGCACAGCATTAATTTGTTATAAATTATTTATATCGAAGATCACATTCTAGAGGTAATAATACCATAGCCACTGCTAGTTCTACTGTTAGAAATTTCATAATGTATAATTCGAACACCTAGAAGTACGACAAGCATCTCAAGATTGCGTGCAACTTTTGCAACAGCTTTTACTTTTCGAGGCCTCCGAATGCAATTTACAAAGCATCCAAACCTTTTCGTTTAGCCTTTATTGTGACTTTAAACCACTAAAGTAAAGTAAAAGTGTTCATTATGTGTGGGCATTCTTTGTTATTTAAATACCCATTAAAAGTAGTGCAACGATTTACTCGTCTACTCAAATTCGCAATAATGCTTATGACACCTAGAATAAGTGTTAGTTAATGTTTATTTACCGATGCATTAGGGTGCTGAGATTTATCCTGCATCACCAACTTGTTGCGCTAATCATAGATGCTTGTCTTATAGGAGGCGCAGCAGCAAGAGTTAAGTTTTCAGGACCTAAGGTAACCTTACTTTGACGTTACCCAATGATATTGCTTTCCTGCCAAAACTTTGGCAGAATGTTCAATACCGAAGTACCCATGCGGTCACCTTCTTGATGTGACTCGTAGCTTCAGCCTTTATCGTTCAAGCTAACACAGATTTTACAAATAAGCATAATCCACTTGTTTTTGCACGGACTCTTCAAAGTGTGAGTTAAGAAATGATCGGCAGTAGTGTCAGTGTCCGTCATATTTGGGTCTTCTGCAAAATACAGTGGGAGAATAAAGTTTAATGTTTTCTTTGAAAAATAGGGCGTGACTTGCTACAAAAAACTGATTGCGAGTGTTGGGCCGGAAATGTCGGGTGCCTACACTTGCCAGGCAAAGAATGCTCTCGGATGGGGATCTCTTTCAAAGCCTTTCAATGTCTTTGTCAAAGGTAGGCAGTGCAAGAGAAAATATCTTCATACATCATCGGACGCTCCTCGAGAAGGCCTTCAAGATGTGCATTTTTTAAATTATTATTAATTAGCTGAGCACTTTGTAATTAGATTGAGCATCGCATCTGGAGTTTTGGAGCGCAGAGAGGGCACTTAGGCTAAGAATTATATTTTCTGTCCATTTTTCCTCGAACCAAAATGCAACGTGTCAGCAATGCCAGTCTCGCTATTGACCAAAATGAATGTTCCATTAAGTGAACTCAGATTAGGCGCTGAAGTTAATTAAGTTTACAAAGAGCCAAACAATAAAACCATTCACTCATCTCTCTCTTAAGCTTATGTTTTTCGTGTAATTTTAAAACTAAATCTATTGTAAGGTGAAAAAAGTGGAACTTGCAGCAGGATGTTTTTAAGTTCCTTTTACGGCTTTCAGTGTATGATAGAGATAGAAATCTGGGGGTGGCTGAGGATTACTTACAGATCTTGAAGGATCAACAATTGACCCTAAAGTAATTATCTGACTAAGTCAGTTATTCCAACTTGACGAAAGAGAAACCGTTTATTCTTCTTAACTGAATTACTCGAAAAGTTCCATTTTTCCCAAACCTTTGTTCTTACTCAAGTTTATTTACGTTGACAAGCAACTAAATGCTCTACAATATACATTATTTAAGGAAGTATATGTATATTTTTTACATTTAGTCCAGCCACATTTTACGCAGAAACCTGACAAATTTCCAAGTCGTGAAGTTACCTTCGCCGAGGTTTTGCGGAGTTGCAAAGCTGCAGGCTTTCCGCCGCCCGAGATAAAATGGGTCAAATACGTCCTAAAGGTAAATTCAAACTGTAGGGGATTATTAAATTATAAATGAAATTATTTGGACTTAAGTGAGGGTAGTGCAGTCTCTTAGTATTCCTAATACTAATGATAATGCTTAATGGAAAGCAGGGGTAATAGATGATTGTCTGCTCTTTTTATGAGTATGCAATATTCATAGAAGAACAGGGGAGCGATTCGATTCTGGTTAATTTTACATTGGAAGTGGGTGGGACAAAGGTCTGACAAATATTTGCATAATTTTATGACATGACAGAAACCGTGGGGTGTTTTGGACAAAATGTGGTTCTTTGGTCAACTTCACTGCACCAGTTTCTTAAACAGCTTATACATGCATTAGTGCTTTAATATTCGCCCAGTGCCAACTGAGTCTGTAAACTCTTAGTACTTAATGTCTATCCTCTTGGACCTGTCTCTTAATATAAGTGGCCCATGTTTAGTACTTCATGTCCATTTTATCCACTGATTGGAAAAAATCCCCATTGCTTCAAGCACTGATGTTGCTTTTCCAGAAGCACAAGCAAGTGAGGCAGCCTGAACACCAGTTTAGACCCAGATATTACTTTAAGAGCGCATTTTTGAGGCCTCAATCACCAACTCTCACCTCAACATACGTTTAAATGTTTGATCAAATCATCAAGCAAAATTGCAAATAAAACACTACTTGTTAAACAAAATGTCTGACACCTACTTAGAATCGTATATCTCTGATTTTGGGGTTTTTGGATATAGCTCCATCCGTGACCGAAAACCATCAATACTAAAAAAAATGATTTTGGGTTTTCAATTTTCGCCGTGCCAGACTACAATTAGCGTCAGGACTGAAAAAGGCTCTCTAGTGGTGCCTTGTTAATTTATATTCGTGGATTATTCGACGAATCTGTAGTAATAGACAACTAAATGTTTGAGTAGTTCCATTTTTAAGTAAAGTGGGTAAATTTAGGGTGAAAATAAAACCTTTCATTCTCAGGCCCCAAAACACATGAAGCGAAATATCTCCACCTCCTCCGAAATGGCACAGACGGGGGAGGAGTGGATGTTGTGCCCCGTGGAGAGCAGAACCCTCTGTTGGACAGCCGAGAGGCATGAGGTGGCTATATCGAAGGCGACGCAGGAGTCTGGCATCTTCGCGTGTACAGCCTCCAACGACTTGGGCTCCCAAATCGCTCTGACGAATCTCGTCACACCAAAACTATCCTCCGAGTGGCGGTTCTCTTTGGGTGGGCAACTAGAAAACCTCCATCGTCAATGCTATCAGATGGTGGATTGCATTCAAAATGGGATGCCAATGAGAGCTATTTGACTCATCGCTTAAATTTTAAACTTTTTTGTTTATTGAAATGCATTCATTCGGTCTCCATCTAGTATCGTTAAAGCACTTGTAAAGCTCTAGTCATTATATTGTTAAGGAAAATTTCGACCACCCCAAGTATTCTATTTAAGCGGAGTAGGGTAAGGCTTTGAGCATCCAATGCAAGTTAAGCACAGAGTAACTTAACTTTGAAAGTTTCAAAATGGGATATCTGAATTACTGTTGTTTCTCAGGAACAGGAATAAAAATAATGTGGATCATTTTCCAAAGTAAGTGTCTTGTGAAGGATGGCTAAGGATTTTAGGGCATAAAAAGCTTCACATGTGCATCAAATGTAGAAGTTATTTCCGTTTGAGAACGAAAAGAGGACGGACTCTATTCGGAATTCTATTGGAAAGGACCTTTACCATAGACTGATGACTTTTCGATAATCTTCAGGTCGTCCATTCCTGAGACAGCATTCCTCCATTAATGTTTCCCTCTTAGATATTCCTGTTCGGCCATTCACTTCAATTTAGACTAGAAGTTCAGCGGATGACTTTTAGCATTTTTTTGGGGGCAGGGGGCAACGGGACCCCAATCACTTAAAGAAAGTGTAGGACTTTTGAAATAACAAAGCGAAATTGGTCAACATAATCTTGTGTGCAAACTTGCCGAGATGCTAACTTCTGGATGGAATGTGTGTCTGCCTACAGCAGAACTTTAAATGGAGCAATGTATGGGGTTGTGTCTTGCACATGGTACGTGAAGGCTTGCACTCTGATAAACCAAACGAAATTTGGTATAGCTCTTAAGCATAGAGACACAAAATCCCATGCATGATTGTCACGATCAGTTATTTTAATTACACAAGAACTCAAAAAGATAAGTATGGAAAATGGTATTTATGTGATTCAGGGTCTTACTTACCAGTAATATGCTTATTTAATGACTTTTTTGACAGGAATCGATGTTACCGATTCTCTTCCCTGTGGATTAAAAGTCCTCATGGAGATGTTTACCTGGACACCCACAACCATTCCCAAAAAGGTGATTTTAGAACATCGCGAATGCTCTTTCTCGGTAGAATTCTCCACCTCTTTGAGGGAAAAGCAATGGAAACGTGGTTAGTTTATTTCTTGAGGCTATGCCCAAACTCTATTTATGGCACGTTTTAGGCGAAAAAATATGTTAATAGTTCACGCCACTTTAACAAGATACCTACATTTAGCTGGCAAATACTTAACTAATTTTCTTTTAAGAAATAATCCTAGGGTGTAGTTAATAATTCAGCCCTCATTTAGAATAAGCTCAGGGATGGGTTTGATAGGTCAGTATTTCGTGCCAAAGGAGAGGTAGCATTGTCATTCATTTCTGGCAGAGTGATAGACACCAGATGCGAAGAGGATAAATGCTAACAAGTACTAATTATCTTTCCTTGTTTCCCTAAAGGCTATTGTACTAAACTAGGCCATGCCTTCAAACATTTCAATAAACCGGACAAGCAGCGACAGTAAGGGTCTGGGTGGTATACATGAAAACTGGAAAGCGTCCCTTATCTACGATTTTACGATATTTATTTAATTAATTTCGACAGATTTAACCCGCCAGAGTGTTTACTCACTAGTAATTTTTGTTATAAATTTACAACTGATTTTTTGTGGGTCTCTGCCCGCTTTCATCCCATCTATGTAGGCATTTCTCCTCTAGTTAGCGATGGAAAGCGGAGGCTTCAGTGGCGAGACGACGAAAGTTACGAGCAATATCTACCTCTAAAAGGTGTTTTGAACAATTTCGTGGATTTACATGAGCTTTAGAGACCTGTCTTGAGCCCTCATGAATGCATCCAGTGGGGCCAAACAAAGTGGTGAACTTTTACCAAGAGCTGACTGAAATTTCGATGATAACTTTGAACTGCTCGAGCCTTACCTGAGTATGCTGTAGTATTTGGTGGATACTTATGTCCAGGTTAGAACGAGAACCCATTCACGTAGAACAGCCAAGAAGTGACTGAAAAGGATAATTTCCCTCTTAGCTGTACTTGATATTTTTCATTAATTAAGCGATTTACTATTTGTCATGCGGCTTTGAAAGCAATAATGTGTTTTCAAAATTTTTTTTCCGCTATTCGGTCTAGTTAGTTCCAGCACAAAACCAACACTGGGTAAATATCGGTGATTGTGGAGTGCGTATGAGAAATCCATGCCGCCACATTTATTCCCCCTTGCAGTAACCCCTGAAACCCACTGAAGCACCACATCGTTTTTCTGTGCTGGTGCAAACACAATGGTGAAGTGACGCAAGGCATTTAGTCCCAAAGGAGTCTCATTGCCCATAAAGCAGCTTTAGCACAGGTACTTAAATGTGTATCTGAAATAACACTAGCTTAGTAGCGACAAAAGTGGGTGAATTGTCTAAAAAGGTTTTTTTTTTTGTGGCTACGTTTGCAACAAGCGCAACCGGAAGATAAAATCGTGACGATGTCACCCAATTTCTACACCAGATAAAAAATGGTGTTTTTTTAATCATATGATGTTCACCCAGATAACTTTTGACTGTTTAGATACATTAAATATATGACACTTCTCAGTTATGCGGAAAAGGCCTGACAGCGATAACACCGACATATTTATAACTTTCTGCAACTATCGTACTTTATGCATTACAATCTACTTAAGGTGATGCATTTATTAAAAATTTGAATTGAAAGTACAGAAAATTTATTCCCTTGACTCGTCTACATCCTACTTCGTGGGATGTGGCTGAGAGAGTTTTAATACCCTCGTTGGCACTACTACCTTGATGTGACCAGATATAGGCAATAACTACCATTTACTCAGGATTTGCAAGGAAAACGTTGAACAGCTGAACGAAGTGTCATTGCAAAGTTTGGCGGTTAGATATTCTGGACTTAACAAGTCCGAAAATGATTCAGCAAGTCTTTCGATTCTCCTGAGACCATCTCACCACCACTATCGACACCACCTTAACGACTTTGTCAACTGCGTAGATTGGCAAATAACACTTCCCTTCCGAAGTCACCTGATCGCAGGAAAATGTTGATCAAAGAGATGTGACGTCGACATATGTTAGCAATGCCTCACTAGCGGAAAAATTATTTTCCTAATTTCTTTGACCTTTGTTTGTATGCACTGACTGTACCTTTCTCTTCGTGTTGATGTTTACAAAAAACAGCATCCACTTCCTTATATTTTCTTTCTGTTTTTAAGGAGATATTGGCATGCTTTACGTGAATGTAACGTAGTTTTTTATTAATTTCGCAGCACAGCCTATGAGATTCTATGGCTCAGAACAGTAAATTACTCCCCTAGCTTAAACTCATGACGCGAGTAGAACGCGAATTCGGACAAAGGAACGATCCCGGTATGAAAACAATAGCCTTGTATTGGCCAAAGATGGACAGAAAATCTGCAGTTATACGAGCAAACCAATCTCAGAGGAAAAGAGTAATGGAAGTAATGAATGTACAACAACTGCATTGCGCCACTTTAGACTGAAAGGCCAACATTCGAAAGCATTTTGGATAAGAAATTTTACAGGTTATTTTATTTAGTGATGAATGCAGTAGATGAAAACTAAAACTACGTTTGCGTTAACGGTGATCTTATTTTGAACTCTCCCAGAAACAATCTCCCCACAATTAATACGATCAGGGGAATTCAAGGTTCTTGGCCTCTCCTCCAACATATTGACTGCCGTGAGGGTTTTCGTGAGGTGTTCACGGCGTCAGCCGGTTGTGAGCAACACCGTCTACGCCTGGACAAGGGCTCCAACTGACAGTCTTGAATGCTCTTCTACCAAAACTCGTCAAGAACCAAATTCAGGTACACAGTCCCCATTTTTCGAGTTTGCTGAATTCTCTTTCAAAGTAAATTTAGGTTCTATAATTTTGGAATATCTCTTCAAATGATTTGCCGTGAAATTCATCATCGTAAGTCGGTGTAATGACGCTTCGTGAAAAGTTGTCCGGTGTTCTGTTTGGCCGCAAAATCGCAGATTCGGATCATTCACTTCGGTGGAGCGGACTCAAACTCCACTCAAATAACATATTAAATCTTCAGTATCCAAGAGGCCTGGCTAGTGCATTCAGATTACTTTGCTTTAAATACGCTCTAGTGTCCTTTGAGGGTTTAAACTATAAGGTGATCAAAGAAATTCGCGAGGTTTTTCATTAAAACACCTCTCATAATATTCCATTCGTCCAATTAATCATTACTACTCATAATCTTTTCCCAATGGGGCACGAACTGGCCAATTCCACCTAGGTAAAATGCTTTACCTCTAGGAGCTAAAAGCTGTGCCATAGATTGTGCTAATCGCACTGATATATAGGAGGGAAGGACAGAGGATGAGGCGTTACCTCGTACCAAAAAGTACATTTCCTCTCACGGGTAGACTTTCTGGTGAAAGACCTTATGTTTTCTTGTGAAAATAGGCATTTTTTAGACTACTTTTGCTAAAGCATTGTTCCTGACACTTTAAACCACAATAGTTTTACCTTCAGCGAAAAATTAATCGCGAGTAATTTTGTCTGCCGTCCACAATAGGTACAAAGCATAGCCTTATGTAGGTAACGTGTGGATGCCTCAGGAGTGTGACCCAATGAGCGGATGGTTTGGAGATAACCAGTGATATGCTCATTCACTTAACGCCGGCATACAAAAGTTATCGCTCATCAAAATTCAGCCAGCAAACAATCTAATAACGGTGAAGAATGAGTTAAGAGCGTTTGAAACTCACCGTTTTCCATTATTACAAGGCGTGCAGAGGCTGGGAGATCTGGCTGTAAGAGAATTGCCCCATCACTAGGGTTAGACATTACGGAAAGTAATCCACTCCACATCATTCACGAATTAATGTGCCTATAGGGACAAGTGGTTTTGCATTAGTGAGGAGCTTATCACTAGAATAAAATTGCTTAGGCTACTTATTTATGATACGATGTTCTGCCATCGCATTTCCTCCAAATGCTGAACACATTAAGAAAAATTTCCACTTCCTTAAAAAGGAATTGAAAGGATTAGGTCGACACGTTTGAATCCCATTAAATTCAATTAATATTTATGAGGACACAAAATACCAAGAAAACAGTTTAAAACGCACTAAAGTACCAGTGAGGTGAACCATATCTGCGCCTTATAGTGCATGTAGACAATTCCGTGCATCTTGCAGGTCACTACAAGTTGGGTCAGGTTAATACAACACGCCAAACAGAAGGTTTTATAGAATTTCTGGGTCATTTGGTGTCCGTTGAAAAATTAAATAATACGAATAGACTCCAAAGTTTGAACTACTGATGCGATGTTTACAACAAGTTTATCGTGACCAACGGTTATAACAAAAAAATTTTTTAAGCCAAATAAAAGGGTGTAAACTTTAAGTTCGGTAATTTGCGTGAAAAGGACGTCGTGGTAATGTGGACGCATTAGCGTAGACTAAAAATGACTTGTTCTTTATTCCACATTAACGTCTGTCCGTAGGACGTGAAACAATGGTCGTAAGTGACTAAATTGCAACGAAGCTACCGGAATATTTTGTCAGTCTAACACTGAATATCAGTGGATTTTTTGTTGTCTGGATTATATTGCCCAATGTGGTTGTCTTGGCGATAGATTCGGGAAATCAGGAGGAAAGCACTCTGATGAAAGTCCTCCTCACCTGTGGAATACTGGTATTAGCACTGCTCTCCGTTTTGGCCTGTCTGCTGTTAAGACGAGGCCCCAGAAGTCGAGCAATCAAAAATTATCTACAGAGAGCCAATTATTCCTCTCCCCAGCAGAGCAGATCGTGGATTGATCATTGCAGTGATTCACCATCCGTCTTCAAAACAACCACCTCCGCCCCCAACACCGTCGACGCTACCTCCGAGGTGAAGGGTGGCCTTCAGTTAGTGGCTCAAGTGCCAGAACAGTTACGCCTGCCTGAGCTGAGCTTTCAGAGGTTGGATGATACTCAGACGGTAACAGTCATTAAAAATTCCATTGATGACCGTAGAGTACTCGAGGATGCTCCCACCGAAAGATTCAATGTGTCGTTTTATCCGCATCTTGGGGTCTTCAACCTTCGGCAACTACGCCAGAGTAGAAGGACATGCTCTCCGCCTAAGATTGGTGGGTTTCATTGTTTGTCCTGTTACTTTCCGTCCGATTAAAGAGATAATGAGCATGACTCTTCTTTTGATTTAGGTTCAAAACACAAAAGCTGCGAAGCCAGTCCTCAGGGGTAGGTGGTAACTTTATCTCTCCTCATCAATTTTAGTGCGTATTTACTCGCATATCTTCAAATTTCCGTAAATATTCATGGAAAAGTCATAGATAGATCTAATGATATGCATACACCTATGGATAGTCTGACCTTAAATATTGCCTTCAAAATGTCATTTGGTAGGAATATTTTCAACCACGGGAGGTGGCTGTGTCCCAGGTTTTTTCTTCACCGAAAATACAGTGTAAAAATTAAGAAAAAAAAATATGAAATATGGATTTCTACTTGCATAAAATTACAGTTTACCTTCTTGGCTAAAAATTGGCGGACTCGATGAATAATTTATCATCAGATATTAACCGGCGACGGATTCATGGCCTTGACTGTTAACACTGGCATATGTTGATGTGCTCCTTTAGTTGGCGTTCCTCAGTGGAATGTTTAATGCTACTTGGCATTTCGTGTCTTACACATCATTGTAAGGACAAATCTGAGGTACACGTCTTAGTAAGTAAAAGGTGATATTAGTTAAGAAGATACTTTGCAATGAACAATTTTGTGTACTCGACTTAACACTAGGCTGTGGCCTCACGGAGATTGTTGTAAAGGTCAAGAAGGGAAAGTAGATCTTGAAAGAATCTATCGTTTGACTGTGGACTGCACTAGTTCTTCCACTTCTCGCTCCACCAATAGCGATTACCAGCTTTTTCAAAGAGATTTGCTAGTCAAATGACATGCGTTTGTAAACATTGGGACGGCGAACACGCACGGTTTATCAATGCTTCACCTTTGCTTTGTCACAGTAACGGTCCACTTATGTATTGAGAAGGTGAACAGCAACTAACCTGTCAGTATGCCTTTGTAGGTATAACAGGGTACTCAAAGCCCCTAGTCTAAGTCAACGTGAGAAATTTTAAGGCACTTTTGCTCCTTGTATTAATTATTCAAAGCCAACATCGCTTCCGAAAGTCGCAATAAATATCCAGTACTAGTAATGTTTATCTTCTAATTCGCTTTTCAAATACTTTTTAGATTTTTGTCTTAGAGTAGAAAATATTGAAGCGTTAAATGTAGATTTTTCTACCAGCACGAGTGGGGAAAAGTTGGATGAAGTTATTTATCTCAGTGGCTGAAAGTAATGAGAGCGACAGTTTCTCCTCTTAGCCGATCGCGCAGATATTGACTTAGTTGCAAGCTCATGTCTCCTCATCCCCTGTTTACGTTTGTGTGCAAGTTAGTTTCGGAAATCTCTCCACAAATGCCCTGAAATCTTCAAATATTTTTCCTGTCAAAATTGCGGCAGGGTAGCAGTTAGTAAACATCAACATTTCACAGATAGATTTTAATTAATTTTGACTCGTGAGGGCGCGATCTAAGGGGAGATAAAGCTCTGTCTTGAAAAGGAATTTTTAGGGGCCATTTACTTTACACTTGTCTGAGGTACATGCGTTGTTTACATTAGATACCACTAATACAGTCGTGATGGCTAGGCAAGGAGAAGTTTATAACGGCAACTTTAAATCGGCATGCCATTCAGTTGGAGTTGAGGATGTGTTGAGCTTCAGCAATCGACATTTGATATAGTCCCCGGCGCGTCATTGTTCTCACCCAAATCCGCCTTATTCTGTCAATTCATGGTAAATTACTAGGTTTAATAATGCTTCTAGATACTAAATTTTCAGTAGGCAGTTCGGAGTTCCTTCACATTATTTGGCTATGAAGTCCTATCAGGTTTCATTGCATGTAAAACTCAACATTACTATTTACCAGGATTGTTACTGCATTGATTCGTCCTTCTTCTGCGTAGCCATGACCTTACATGCGATTACGTTAATTCTAATGAACAAGAAAGGCATTAACAAAGTGGTACCGTTGGGCCACAAAGGCCAGGGTAACACTGGTAGTCAATCTGCGTCTGTGGATGGAGGATTTATTCGAAAACAGAAAAATCGCATCAGCCGGATCTACTGATAACCCTGCATTAGTCATGATGCCTCCTCTGTTAGAAATGTAACAAATAATCCATAAGTGCTTTTAAAACCAGTTTAAGTACTACTTTTCCTGTCATGCTTGTATACATTTATTCCTTTCCCTGTTTCAATAGCAGATACCCCACATTTTTGCAATTTGATGTTCTTTCATTAGAGCTGTTAAAACATACTAGCGCGCTTCTAGGACTAAAATCTACTTCATAGGAAAAGTAACAAACATTGTGGTAGAGAAGAAACACTTTCGTAATCTAGATCAAAGAGCAGAAAAGTATCTCAGGCTGCGAGCATTGTAAGATGTTTGCTCTGAATAAGGGAGTCTTTTTCTCCACAAATCAAGGATCGTGATTTTAGTGGCTAGGAGAAGCGGCAATTGTTTGCACCCATCTCTACAAGAGACAAATCTATACACCTTTTTCTGCAATGTAAATCGGATCAGCTAAGAGCATTAAATCTTATCAAGTCCTGAGCTCATCCTATATCTACTGGCCTTTGGAGCACGAATCCGGAAACCGACAAATACCACTTATTCAACTACCCTCCAGTTTGTTTTGCAGGTCACAGGTCTATGCTCAGTTGCCAATGTGCTCTCTCAAGCTTCCGGAACTTATTTCCTCCCGGTATGCCTGTGAAGTGCGCTCGTGCAGAGGAGGCAGTAGCGGAGAAGTATAGACGGAGGACAAAACATCCTCGACGCGACTCTGGGAAAGTACAATCTACCACGCCCAAGAACAGACACCAACCGATCGCAACTGCCACAATATCTGACTTTCATTCTCTCTCCTTCTTCGTCTCCCAGGCTCTCCTCTTTTTCTACTACGATGGAATCCACTGTATTTATTATTTTCTCTGGATTTAGCATTTTAAAACGAAAGTAATTTCAGTTCGATCTTTTTTTCTTGTTTTGAAAGGTATCCATCAATGAAATCTGGCTCTTAGACTTATCGAGAGAACAATAACTGTAATTGCTAGGGGGAACAGGAGCTTCCAAAGGCCAAATTCCTACAGTTTTTAAACTGGGATCTCAGTGATGGAACAAGTTTTCCATTCAGTACCAAATAGAGGGTTCTGCAGCTAATAGGCTTAAAAATTTTGAAGTAATTCGTTTCTTTCCCC